GCTTGGGGTTGCTGCTAGCATGAATGCATGGAGGCCAGAGCTAAGATCTGATTACTGGTTGAATGGCAGGGGACACCATACGTGATGGGGCCATAGCCTTGACACCTGACCCTCCGCAGGCACAGGATGGGAAGTTCAATGCTTAGGACCCCACAGCCGCAACCCTGGGGAGGATGTGTGAGTCCGTGCGCTCCCTCACACACCCTCATTCATCGACACCTGCTCCATGTGCCTGGCCCACGCCGGGTGCTCAGGCAGCAGCCAAGAGCTGTTCATCAGGCGCTCACTGTCTGGAAGAAGGGTGGGGGGCGGTGATGGGCCCCCGGAGCGATGCCATCCCCTCTGCTCGGCACTCAGCATGACCAGGAGGTACAGGGGATGTCCGGGCTCTGCTACTTCTCTCACAAGGGAAAGGATGATACGCCCGGGCTACCCACGACTGCTCCGTGTCTCCTCCCCGTTCTAACCCTTGTCTTGGTCCAGCCTCATCCACAAGCCAGGAAAACCTCCTCCCCTGCTCTAAGTGAGAAGTGACAATGGAGAGAGGAGAACCATGGCTTGCTGTGACTTAGAGGGCATGTCCGCACTCCCTTAAGGCCGCGCTCCTGCTTCGTCTCTGCCAAACCGGGCCCCTCTGATTCCAGGGCTTCGGAGAGCAGCCAGGACAGGATTCTGGGCTCACAGAGAATAAAGTTCCCAGCCTGGGGCTGACCCTGTCGCTTGTGCCAGCATGGATGCCATTCACGCCTCTCCTTTGAGCTCCCTGCCTGCCACGTGTGACCCTGTGCACACACCTCTCTAGGAACCTCTCCTCCTTTGGCCTCTGTCACACCTGCTCTCCTGGCTCTCCTCCTTCCTCTCTGGCTTTGGCCGTCTTGTGGAGTTCTCGTTTTCTTCTCTCCTTATGCTTCCTTGTCGTTTGGGTCCTCCCCAGGGTCCCATCTCTCCTCGGCCCGGCAGTCCCGCCTCCGGCTGCCTCCTGAGGTCCCCTCCAAGGCTGGGCTGGTGACTCCCAAGCCTTGAACTCCTGCCCCGCTGTCTCCTCTGACTGCCCAGTTATATGGACAGCCACCTCCCAGCACCTCAGTCCCAGCATGACCTCCGTGCCTCCTCCACTCCTCGATTTGGCCAGGAGGCTCTTTATTTGGGGATGACACTGTCATCTTCCCAGCTGGAATTTCACACCTGTCCTGGTGCAAAAATCTTCCCTGTCCCTCACCTCCTTCAGCCAGCACATCCAACAATCTTCTCCATTCTCCCTTCCCATCGCTGTCCCAAGCCACCCGCCTCCCTCCTTTCCCACCGCAGCGTTCCCTTCTTTCTCTCCACCACGCTCTCCTTCACTCGGGCCCCAGCCATGGCCTCCAGACTGGCTCCTGGGCAGCCCTACCGCAGTGATTTTCCTCCACCTGATGCTCATGTCACTCCCTTCCAGCTGTGCCCCCCGGAGCTCTCAGGATGAAACCCAAATGCCTCTGCTTAGCACCCAGGACAGAAACTCTGGATGGCAGGTATCAGGAAAGGCCAATGCCCCCAAGGGGAGTAGGGGGATGATGCCTTGCTGTGTGCCTCCGCTCTCTGTGAGTCTGATCACTGTGAATCAGTTTCCCAAGACTCCTATTTGGAATCAGAGGGTAAGGTTTAGCTCCCGGGTCACTGTGGCCCACCAGGATGACCATGGCTGGGCCCAGCCACTGCGTTCATCCACGTGTGTACTTTGGACAGCAGGGCTGACCCTGGAGGGAAGGCCATAGGACAGCTCCCAGGGGCTGCTCATGTACTGAGCACCAAGCCCTCTGTTAAGCATCTTCAGGCCGTATCTCATTAAATCATCCTACAAACCCTGGGAGGAAGGCTTTTTTATTACTCCCATCTCATAGATGTGGAAAGAGAGGCCAGAGAGATTGAGTACGGGCTAGACCCGGAATCTGAAGTCATCTCTATTCGATTCCAGGGTCATTAACACACCTGGGAGTAATTTAAGGCACGGACGTGGACGTGGGCAGAATACCTTTGAGAGAGGAGAAATGAGAGGAAGCAGGCAGTAAAGCTGGAGAGAGTAAGAGTCTGTGAGAGCCGGGGTGATGGAGAGCGAAATCACTGCTCCGTCCAATCCGTCTGTTGTTCGCACCGTTGGAGCCCACCGTGCCGGGACAGGGGCGTGAGGAGTGTGTCAGCAGGCGGGGTCACACCCCCACCTGTCCCATCTTCCTCCGTGAGCCTGGCTCCCTGGAAGGCCGTGTGGCGTGGGACAGAGGAGAGCAAGAGTGTCCGAGAAGGACCTCTTAAGTCCTGCTGGTCAGAGGCTCCACCCAGGGCCTCCAAATGGGCCTTGGGGGGCAGATTCTCACAAAGGTAGGCATTCATCACTTTTACGTCTGCGTTCAGATCCTTAATAAGGAAGTAATAATATTGCGAAGCCTTTACCACGCTATCTATGAGCTAGCGAGAAGACTAATTATCTGACGACACTAATAAATGGTTATGATGTTATTAAAAATGGCACCAAGCTAGGATTAATAGGCTCATCAATTGTAGGGAATCGGGTTTAACAAGGTCCCCTGCCTGTCCCGTCAGGGCCTGCGCCTTGATGGATACCGCGCCGCACGGAGGCCGCAGATGAGGCCACCTCCCCTCTTTTCCCCAGCAGAGGGTCAGCTGAGAAAGGTCTGGCTTACCGCTGGGTTTTTCTGAGCCTCCCCCTCACAAATGCTCTTCAAAGCCTGGAGATGGAGATGCTGTGGCCACCCGGACTGGCGCCGGCCCTGCTCCCTTCCACAGGTGGCCTCCACGCTCCACGGGACCCCCTCCACCTCCCCCGTTCAGCCTGCCTCTGCAAACAACAGGCACTGGCACCCACCGGGGCCCCGCATTCCAGAGCCCTGGCACCAAGCAGAAGTAGGGGAGCTGATAAATGGAGATGCCTCTGGGGCCTGCTGACTAATTTCCATAATAATTATAGTTATTACTAATAATGGTGACAACACCACTCCCTTCCGTTTACACTGGATTCCACAATCTAGGAGAGCTTCCCCACCAGCTGTCTCCTCCCAGCCGCTCAACCTGCTGGGAAGAACACAGGGTAGGTAGTCCATATTCGGTGTTCGTATTCTCCATGTTGAGTTAGAACCTAGGAACCCGGGGACATGAAGGGACTTCCTCAAGTCCCCTCCCCGGCCTCGAAGGAGTAACCGTACGATACAGATAAAAATAAGAAGACAAGGACCGACAGGGTGCAGAGGACATAACGCACGTGGGTGAGCTTAGCCCTCACAGCCTATGGGGCTGGCTCTATGACTGTCATTCCTGTTTTACAGATAGGGAAATTGAGACAGAGAGAGGCCAAGAAACTTGTCGAGGAGCGTGCGGCTAAGTTGCCGCAGAGTGGGAGTCAAGCCCAGCCCAAGTTCGTGCTGGTGACCAGAAGCCTCTCCCACCAGCCTTCTACAGGAGCCTGAGTTCTGGGGGCCCTAGGAAATGAAGGTTTTGCTTGAGCCTTCCCGCTTCTCCCTCCTGTCCAAGGCTCTAGGTTCCCTGTAGAGCATCTTCCCTGCACGGTAACAATCCCCGTGGCTGGTACTTTCCATGCCAAGATCTACACTACAGGACTACAGGAGCCTACTTTGCCCTCGCTCCTGGGGTCAGGATGGCTCTTCGCACATGTTGGAGCACAGGGCTTCCAAAAGCAGAGAACCTCCAAAGACTCTGCTGCTTTGAACACCACTTACGAGCCGTGGGTCCTCACTGCTCTCTGCCTCAGTTTCCCCATCTGTAAAATGGGTGGTGGGAGCAGGACCTACCTCACGGGGTTGTTGTGAGGATAAATGAGGGGAGGAGAACATAAGGGGTCTGTATAGATCAGGTCCTGGCATTCGTTAGCAGGTCTTTGCTGACAGATGCCTCTGGAAAGCTGAGGGGCTTGGGCTGGAAGGCAGAAAACGTTTGCTACAGGCCAGCTGAGCCTGTGCAAATAGCTCCTTCTTCCATTCCTGCAGCAGCTGCGGGAGCTCTGGTGGTTGTCCCTTCCTCCTATTTTAAACGTGGAGACACTGAGACTCAGGGAGGTTGACGAACATTCCCGGTCGCACACCTATGAGGTGCTAACATGGGGCCAGAACCTGAGTTCCGGCAGATCGCATCTGGGCACCTGACAAGCCTCCCTCTTACTGAGGTCTTGCGGTGGGCGACGCCCTGCTCCTAGTCCTTCCATCCAGGGTCACAATAATCCTCCGAGGAGTGACGCCCATTCCAGAGATGGGAAATCGCTTAGAGAGGTTCCTCCTCACGGGCCCCTATTCACACAGCTGCTGATTGGGGTACCGGTCCTTGAACCCAGGGCCCCTGCCTGCCCCCACCTGGGGCGACCATACACTATGGCTTCTGTCTTCCTCCCAGGGTCCCACAAGCCCCAGGCCCCTCCTACCAGCTGCTCCTTCTTCCCAAAGCCCTGCCTATCTGCTTCCCCCTACTCTCCCTCACCTCAGGCATAGCGCTCCCAGCTGAGCCTTGCTTCTCCCCTCACAGAGCCCTCAGCTCCCTGCACCACCGGTCTCTCCCCTGCGGCCAAAGCCACTCAAGGCAGGGACAGACCTAGCTCTGCATCCTAGAGTTTGGGAAGTGTTTTGTACTGGCACCCACGTGACTGGGACGCCTTTGGTCTCCCCTAAAGGACCGAGAGGCATCGAGGAGCTGGGGAAGTCCTCCTGAGCAAGCTCACCAAAGACACCAGTGGGAAAGACTCAGTCACACGGAGGGGGGGCGGTGGTGGTCACAAGGGCGGGACGGGTAGTACACGTGTGCTTGTGTGAAGGGCAGTGTCTGGGAGCTGGGGAGCATGAGCAAGGCAGGCCCACGGGAGTGGGTCCTTCCCAAGGACCTTTGTCTCTATCTCCCCTGCCCCCAGGGCTCTCACCTGCTGGGATGCCCCACCCCGACATGCACTGGACTTGACCAAGCCCCCTAGGGCGTCCCTAGCCCCAGGGGGCTCCCTTCCTGCTTACATGGTCGATGAGCTCCTTGATCATGCCGTTCCACTGGCCCTTGTCGTCCTGTGCCCCGTACTTGCCATCTTCCACCAGCCGGATCTCGTAGGAGAAGCCTAGGATATGGGCCAGCTCCTTGAGCAGGTCGATACAGTAGCCCTCGAAGCGGTCATTCCCGAACAGGGTCCTGTCAGACTTCCGGAACATGACGAAGGGCTCCTCCTGCAGGGAGAGACGGGAGAGGGGCTGACAAAGGCGGCGTGGGTCGGGGGAGAGCTTGGTCTGGAGCCTCTCCTCATCTGTATTTTGTCGTGGCCCCTGGCATGAGGCGCGGGCTTGGAGGGTATTTATGATGAACTGTCTGACGGTCACAGAGCTGGTAAGGGGTGGGACAGGCATTTGGACTCAGGCGATCAGATTCGAATCCCATGCTCTCTACCACACCATCCGTGCAAGGCCGGCGGTTCTCCAAGTGTGATCCCCGATCAGCAGCCCCAGCGGCACCCAAGAACTTGTGAGAAATGTACACTTTTCAGCTGCACGTGGACCACTGGGCCTGAAACTCTGGGGTTGGAGCCCAGCGTCCGACTCTTGATTTCGGTTCAGGTCATGATCTCAGGGTGGCCGACTGGGCCCCTGTTGGGCTCCACACTCAGTGGGGAGTTTGCTTGGGATTCTCTCACTCCTTCTGCCCCTCCCCCCACTCACTCTCTCTCTCAAATAAATATATAGATCTTTAAAAAAAAAAAAAAAAAAGAAATGCAGCCCTCCAGGGGATTCTGATGTCTCCTCTTGCGTAAGAACACTGCCACACCGGACCCTCCATCCAGTACGCTCCCTGACTCCTCCCCCTGATACATTTCTGTCCTCCCGAGGTTCTCAGTCCCCAGCCTGAGGATCTGCTGGGTAAGTGAGGGATGTGGACCCAGGTTGCACGAGGAAATTGTCAACTGCCAGTGCCTGTGGAGGGCCTAGCCCACAGCCCAGCAAGGGCGTGCTGGACAGACAAATGGCATTGCCTCATTTAACCTTGAAGTCACCCTTCGGGGGGAGGGACCCACAGTTCCACTTGACAGATGCAGAAAGTGAACTCACGAGGATGCATGACTGGTGTGAACTGAGCTCACACCATTACGCTGGCAAGGAGAGCAAGTGAATTCAGGTGGGTGTAGCCCTGAAGTGCAAATTTGTAAGCCCCTCACTGAGCCAGAGGCCCCAAGATCCAGGGCACCTCTCCTGGTGGGTATGGGGCCCTCGGCAGGTAGCTCAGTAGCCAGGACACACATCCCGCTGTCCCACCTCGGGCTCTCTCCCTGCCTGGCAACGGGGAGCCAGCAAGGGGCTGTGATGAGGGCACAACTCGGTCTGATTTCTCATTTAGAAACAAGCTCTTCAGGGTGCCTGGGTGGCTCAGTGGGTTAAAGCCTCTGCCTTTGGCTCAGGTCATGGTATCAGGGTCCTGGGATCAAGCCCTACATTGGGCTCTCTGCTCAGCAGGGAGCCTGCTTCCCCCTTTCTCTCTGCCTGCCTCTCTGCTTACTTGTGATCTCTGTCTGTCAAATAGATAAATAAAATCTTAAAAAAAAAAAAAAGAGAGAGAGAGAGAGAAGCTCTTTGCCGCCCTGCAGAGAACTGGGGGAAGAGGCAGGACAGACAGTGGGAAGTTGCCATTGACCTGGTCCAGTCTGAGGTCTACGGGGTGAGAACTGTGGGCTCTGACGGGGCAAAATCCAGGCCTACAGCAGGGACCCAAAGTCCAGGTCAACACACAAGTCCGTGTTTCTACGGGGTCCACCCACCCAGCTTCACCGACAAGTCCCCATCCCCGGGCCACGGTGGATGGGTCACTCACGTTTTTCTGAGCTCCTACTATGCACCAGACACCAATTCAGGGTCTCACACAGGCTGCTTGATTCAGACCCCCAAGGCCTGCAGGACAGGTGACATCACACCCATGCCGCAGATGAGGAAACACGCTCAGAGAGGGTCAGTAAGTTGCTCTAGTCACACAGGAGTTGAACTGCAGTCTGACAGAGTCTGGCTCCCCTGCTTCCTGTCTGTAGCTCCTGGCCTCCTCCTGTGCCTTAACCTTCCCCAAGGCCACTTTGGCACCCCCCTACCCCCTACCCATGTCAGAATGCCTCAGGTCTTCAGCTGACAGGTGATAAGCAGTAGCTGACAGAGGGCACATGTACTGGGAAACCCATGTGCACAGGCCCACGAGAAGGGTACACACCCGATTATGGAGGCTTCTCATCATCTGTCAACCAGTATGGCTATTCCTTTGAACACTGTGGGCCCCTGGGGACAGAGTGAGCCATGGAAGTCCCTGAGAACACCCTCACTGGAGATCCTCCGGAGCAGAAACCCACCAGCATCCTCCTGCTGGGCTCCCTCTGTGACAGGTGGGCTCGATTCTCTGCTCCTGGTCCCCCAGTACCGCCCCCTTTCAAAATCCCAATCCCACCCCAGGACTCATTTACTCTAGATTTTCAACAATCCCTTGGGACGATTCAGAGCAAGGATGGGGGAGCGTGTGTGAATCTCCAGGGGTTCCTGCCTCTCCAGGGTTTCTGAGAAAAGCCATCTCCCAGTCTAATTGGGTGGAAGATATCGGGCAACTGACCCTTGGTCCTCCCCCCGGCTCCACCGGACCCCTTTCCCTGGCTAGAGTCCACGCTGAATCTCTGTGCCTCCCATCCCCACCCTGCAACCAAGTGGGCAACTCACAAGGTTGCTGAGAAGAGCACAGGTGGGGCGGGGAGAGGCAGGGGCTACCTGGAGGGAAGGGGGCTGTGGTTAGCACACACACGTCATCGTGCAAATCCGTCTCTGGGAGGGTGCTGCCCGGAACCCTGGCATGCGGCCTGGGGGCAGGAGCCTCAGGAACCCGCCGCCTCCCCCGATCCTTCTGGTTGGACATTCTTGTGCAGTGAACAAAGTATACCACTGTCCGAGTTGGCCCTGATGTGAGCTCAAGAAAGAAGTGGAGAGAAGGTACTATCTCTCCCAGGAGAATCGCCAACCACACACACATTCCTGGACAAAATTGACCTCCTTCTGTAAAATGGGGAGAATCCTGGACCCCACCAGATAGGGTTGCTGGGAGGAGTAAAGGAGCCAATCTATGAAAAGCACTTACAACGGCGCCTGGCAAAGGTAAGCTGCCAATGTGATCGACGGATTGATTTTTGTTAATATCGTTACCGTCTTTCCGTGTGCTGGGTCGCCTGTGCCTGCAGTGCCCTTTCCAGCCTAGAGACCATGCCCAAGGTCAACAAAGGTTAAACACCCTAGCTGGCCCTGGAAAACCATTTCAGGGAAAGGTCCCTGAGATGGCTTACTTCCTGACCCTCCCTCCACGCCCCTCCCTGGGCCTATTCTCTAAAATTAGCACTTCCTTTGTGAAGCCACCGCAGCCCCAGAATCTATACATCTCCATATAAATACGCTGCCTTCGGAGCAGCTGTAAAATGCCATTAATTTCGGGAAGTGCTCTGCGGATGGCATACATATTTAACAGCCAAAGCCCAGAGCATTAAAATGGTGCTCGCCTTAGTAATGTGTCTCTCGACCTGCAACATTTCCTAGGGGGTAATTCTGAACTCCGCCAACTACTTATTCATGGACTATTTCACAATTTATTACTGGAAATGTCCAGACAGCCAATTCACAAGCTCTCTCGGCTGCTAATCGATTGCTTGGTGAAGGTGCCCTCAATTTCATAACTTCATGCTCCCCTATTGCTCTGGGAGAACCGCCGTAGGAGCAGGGTAATATTTCTCTTCAACAAGTCACAGGAAACAGGGGTCCAGAAAAATAACCTTTCCCGACTTTTTGCGGCCAGAGCTCTCCGTCTGGTTTCTTTCTGATCACTTACACCGACGGGAGAGCCAGGCCTTGGGCTAAGCTTCTCCCCTGGCCGCAGGACCTGTGGAGTTGGAAAGGGGTCTGTGAGGGGAGGAGGATGCAAGGGTGAGCTGCCCGGCACCCGCATTCCCAAGCCCCCCTCTGATGCACATTCACACAAGTGCACACCTGTATACACAATACTACTGGCACGGGCGTACCACATTCTCGATGTTCTGTCTGCCTGGCCCTGCTTGGCCGCAGAGGCTGAAGGCTCTGGACCCAAGACCTTGCCTTCTGCCTGTTAGAACCAAGACAGAGCACTGGGAGTCCTGCCCATCCCGGAGGTGGGGTCTAGAGCAGTCCCTGACCTGGGACGGCCCTCCCAGCCCACACCCTGGCCTTCCTTGGCTTCTCTGCTTCTCCTGTTGCCCGGTGCTAGGGGTTCTGCCTGCCTGGCCGTTGAGTCTTACGAGGTCACTATGTGCACAGGGCACAAATACACCCACTGGTGTGACTCCAGACACCCGTGTGCGGCTGGGCCAGTCCCGCACCCACATGTGTGTCAACACTGCTGCTTTCTTCAGCAGCCTAAAGAACTCTGAACCTTCAAAGGCAGGGCCCCCAGAAGTGAGGCAGGTGTGTTTTCTCGGCATGTGAGCTGAGGTTGGAGTGGATGAATTTTTCATGAGCCCATGGGAGAGCAGAACCAGAACAGAAGCTGGGGCCGGGCAGAGAGGGGGCGAGAAATGGGAGGCTTCCAGGCTTTCGACCTCAGACATGGGGAAGGCCATCTGCAGCTCTGAGGGCCAGGGTGGGTGCAGTTAGGGCTCCGTCCATCTGTGTGCCCAGGGTAAGGCACCCTTTGTTCTTAACTCCAGGGTTAGGGATAGGGGAGAAGAGGAGGCAGGTTTCTGACAGCCCACAGGGAACCGCGGCCCTCCCCTGTGCCCAGACTCCAGGGAAAAGAAAGAGCAGAAACCCCTTTCATTAAGGGTCCAGCCCTATTCTCCGGGGACAAAGCAGTCGGATCTTCTTGAACCCAGCTTTGGTATCTGCCTGTCACTCAAAGTGCCGTTTCCCAGACAACACCCTTGCCGGCTGGCCCCCCTCACCAACCTCCGCCCCCCCACAGTGCTCTCAGCAAGAGGTGCTGGCCCTGTTTTCAGGCTGCCAACCGCTGGGCTGGGTTTTCAGCCAGAGCAGCTAGGGCTAGGCCCCTTTTCACAACTGGTGCCCCTGCCCCAAAGAACCTCAACCTGAGAGCACCCCCCAGGACCATGCTGAGACTTTCAGGAGCATCTGGACCAGCTCAAGGTTTTTGGGAAGGAGGCCCCAGGTCCGTCCATGGGGGAGTGGGCCTCTCTCTCACTCGGGAGACTGAGGACATTTTCAGCGGGGCACAGAGAGTTTCTCAGAGACCAGCGCAAAGGCTGTGTGTCATAGCCCGTCCCCATCAGGGATCCTCCAGATGTTTTCCGGGCCATTTCTCTTCCTCCAGGAAAGACTGGGCTTCTCTCACTGACCCACAGGGAGAAGCAAACCTTACCCTCCATGAGCTCTGGGCACCAGGGAATGCAGAAAGCAATCATGGGCCGCCCCCTGCCCATGTGAGTATCTGACACTGCAGGATGGGGTTAAGACAGTGTGAGGGACATGGGCTTGGGTGGGTCAGAAGCAATGTCAGAGGTCAAGACCAATGGGGGTGGGGGTGGGGGGGTGGGGGAGGGAATAATTATGATGTCAGGCCCAGGAGCTCAGACTTTGAGCAAAGCAGATGATGAGGTCGTGGTTGGGTCTGGAGTCTGTCTTATCAACAGGAGACCAGAGATATGAGGGACACAGAAGGTCAAGGTCACAAACCCTAATGCCTTCAGGGGCCCGTCAGGAAACAAGGAAGTGAGAGGCAGGGTAGTGTTGACCATGGTCGGGGTGGCAGGGTTCTGTAGAAGGCAAGTCTGAAGCCTCTGAGCTACCCTGTGCTGGGAAGAACCTCTGCGGTCATGGTCAAGGTCATGGTCAAGGGTCAGTCTTCAGTGAAGTTCAGGGCTCAGGGGTGGACAGAAGCAGAGGCTTTCTCTAGAACACTCTGCATACTGTACTAGACCTGAGCTCCCCGGGGCCTGGATTTGTGATCAATAACAGTCATGAGGAACAACAGCAGCTCTCATTCCACATGCACTTGGTGCCATTCAGATTTATTAATCCCCCAGACCCTCAACTCCATGAAGTAGATACAATTAGTACCACCTTTCTTTTTCAGGTGGGGAAACAGAGGCATGGAGCAGTTAAGCAATTTCCTGGGGTCACACAGCTAATTAACTGGGAAGCCAGGGCTCAGACCCAAAAGTCTGTGCTCACAATCTTGCCCCTGCACCCCGGTCACACTGCATGTCCCTAGCGGCTGCTGAGCTAGTGTTCGCCCGGATGAGGGGCGGGGGCACAGATAGGGCTGGGTGCGGGCCATGGGCCAAGAGGGGCTTCTCTCTTTCCCCATCCCCGGGGGTGCCTGAGAGCCAGCAGGATGCTGCAGGTGGGACTTCCAGCAAGGGACTGAGTGCATCAGGTTGGGACCTTTGCAAGAAGCTGTGAGTGTTGATCAAGAAGCTTCCAGAAGGGCATAGGATGTCTGCCTGATCCTGCCACTGCGGGTGTAGACACATTCCGGGCACCTTTGCAGAAGGGTTTCACACCCTTGAAATCAGGCTGCTGCTGCCATTTTAACAAAATGCACGCCCATGGTCTTTCAAGGTGTGTGTATCCGGTTTCCTTCTGGTGTATCAGGTCTAGCCTGCTGCTCCCTTGAGGGCATTGTTTTGTGGCTGAATCACCTGGGCCCATGTCATCACCCTTCTTCCTAATCTCTCCGAGCACACTCGTTTTACCTTTCTTTTTCTTTTTTTTTTTTAAAGATTTTATCTATTTATTTGACAGACAGAGATCACAAGTAGGCAGAGAGGCAGGCAGAGAGAGAGAGAGAGAGGGAAGCAGGCCTGCTCCCCGCTGAGCAGAGAGCCTGATGTGGGGCTTGATCCCGGGACCCTGAGATCATGATCTGAGCTGAAGGCAGAGGCTTTAACCCACTGAGCCACCCAGGTGCCCCTCGTTTTACCTTTCCTAATCTCTTCTTGTGCGAAGTGTTTTATTTATATCTCACATTTTATGCAGCTCTGTTTTTAATCTTTTACCACCTTTTTATTATTTTATTTTTACCCTTTTATATTTTAGCTTTGTCACTCTTTTATCCTTTTGCTTTCTGACATTTCGGTTTTACATTTTTTACCTTGTCTAGCTGGAGCTGTTAATTATTTATTTTAATTTTTCGTCTTTCGTGATGGCTTCCCTTTTCATCTCGTGTCTTATTTTCATTTTTCTCATTATTATTTTCCCTTTAACCTTTTTCTTTTGTTCCCTTTCAACTCTCTTCTTTTCTGTTTGCATCCACATCAATATCCTTTCAATGGCTCATCAGTCTCTAATCCCTTTGCTCTTTTTTGTTTGTTTCTTTTTAATCTTTCTAGATTTTTTTTTTTATAATTTCTCCCCTGTTCCTGATGAAATCCTTTGACTTATTGGTCTCAGCAGTCTGATTTTTATATTTTTTTTAGTTAACAAAAATTCGGTCAATAAAGGCAAGTGTTGGTGTTGAGGGCAATGCTGGGGGAAGGGGCTCATGCCCAAACCTGGGCGGGGGGGCAGGCATCTCCCCAGCCCTCCTGTCCTGGCTCTGTCACCAGTGGTTCACCAGAACCATTGTGAGGGCTGCATCACCTTTGACACGAATCCTCTCAGTGGTACAACCCTGGACACTGTGGGTGAGGCCCACGGGCTACAGGTGCTCCCTTGATTACATTGACTACACTGGTGGCCCTGGTGTCTGCTGCTTACTGGGAGATTGGGATTTAACTACCATGCCCCTTCTTGCTCCGGGGTGCCCACCACTTGCCACCAAGCATATGTCTGGTGAGTCACACTAGAGGGAGGGCACAGGACCGTTCCGTGGTGCCCGGTTGAGCTGCCCCCACAGTGGGAGGCAGGTGGGGCAACTGTATCCCAGCGCCCTGGAAGGGTCCCGAGCCGGGTGTGCAACCCTGCTCTCTGGGTCCATCCCAGGCAGCCTTACTTGGACTGAGCTCTCCAAACCTGGCTGAGCCCTCCACTCTATACAGGATTTGCTCTATTCATATTCATGCATTTATTGTATTGTATGTGCTTAGTTATAAGCAGTTATAAGGAGAAGCTGACCAAAATTGCCCTCCAAAGGTCTTTGGTCAGAAGCTACTGGGTGGTGATCAGGCTGCCTCTCCCCAGCATGGCCCAGCGTGGGTCCCCCAAAACCGTGTTGAGTCTCTGAAAGTGCGGGTTCTGAGTCTCTGGACCCCTTGGAGGCCTTCCAGAAAGGGCTGCTGCACGGGGAGGGGGCACAACACTGGCCAGTTAAGAGGGCAGTGGCATGGGTGTGTCTTTCTCCCCATCCTGAGTTCCAAGGTACAGAGAGCCTCAGAGATGCCAAGAGCCGCACCTTGGGGCAGAAGAAGGAGGTGCTCTTTGGTTTGGGGAATGGAGGGAGGACGGCAAGCTGAATGACCACAGAGCTGAGCTCTCGGGATGGGTACTGTGGCCTATGGCCTGTGGGATCCCCACACTGGCTGGGCTCTCTGGGTGTGGCCACAGCACCCACCACAGCTGGGGGGACCACTGAGAAGGGCCTTTTCTCTGGGAGCTGAGGTGAAGAGGGGGGCCCAGAGTCCTGGGGCAGAGGGCAGCTACCCTGTCTACCCCATCGTGGTTTGTACTTGGGCTCAAGGGTGGGTGGGTGGTGGGAGATGCAAACACGCAGGCCTCTGCAGGTGGGCTTCCAAGCAGATCTCAGACAGGTGTGAGGACCAGTCCACCCCGCCTTTCAGAGCAGGCCACTGACAGCCACCCCCTGGGGTCTTTGGCCTGTGACCATGAGCAAGTTGCTGTGTTCCAATGACTACGGGCTTTCTGAGAGACCCTCTGTGCTTCCACAGCACCTCCCCCATCTCCCAGGCTCGAAGCAGCCCCGAGAGGTGCCCGGTCTGTGCTGCCCAGTCTGGTCCCTCCAGCCCATCCCCGGCTCACAAAGTCCCTCCTGTGGGGTGGCAGGCTCTTACCAGCACGGTGGTGACGATGAGCGATCTGTTTGTCAGAGAGTCTGTGACATTAGGGCCTCGGCCTTTGGCGACCTCCGTGATGTTGAGCCCCTCTGCAGGACTCCACACACCCACCTGGATGGACAGACAGACAGAGAACAGGGCCTTCCAACCTTTCTCCACACCAACAAGGCCTCTGCTCGTTCCCCTTCCTCAGGAGCATCACGAGGTAACATGCTGGGAGCTGACCTTTCAGACCACCCTGTTGCCTCTCTTCTTCTGGGAGGAGGCCCTCAAGGTGTCGAGTCTCCTGAATTCTGCCACCTACCCGCCTTTGCTGGCAACCCCAGCACAGCTGGTGGGAAAACGCAGAGGAGAAGGTAAGCATAGATACAGCCCGGAGACCTCAGCCCAGGCAGGGGTGGAGCAGGTGCACCAGGAAATCAGAGGTCCTGGGGCAGAGGTACTCCGAGCCTGGTGGGCCTCCTCTTTCTGAGGAAGATGCTGGGCACCCAGCCACTCACTCACTGGGTCTCCACTCAGGTGCCACCTCCTAGAGCCACGCAGCCTCCATAGCCAGGCAGGGCCTGGAGCCAGGGAGATGTTCGCTAAGCATTTATAGAATGGGTTAACAGCGGAGGAGATGTGTCCCCTGCAGGAAGGCAGGCCGGGCAGGAGCGGGTCTTTGTAGTCGTTTTGGGGATCGCAAACCAGAGTGGAGGGCCCTCTCTGCGGGCCCGATTGCCGCTGGGTTTGGAGGCAGTTTGCTTTGTGGTTTTACTTGTAAAGTGGGCAGATGGGGTGGGGTGGTGAAGGTGGCATCGTTGATGTCACCACAGTGCCCTGGTTGCTACAAGGCCTGAAGCTGGAGAAGGCCGGGGAAGAGCCAGCTGACTAACCCTTCTAATATCCGGGTCCTTGGGAAGGTGCTCTGCTGCCCAGCTCCGCTCCCCTCCCAGGTCCTTTCTCTCAAGGATGGTCTTGGCATGCCCACTCTGTCCTTGGCCTAGCTGGGGGACACTCAGGAAACTTAATCAATTAAACAGAGAGGCCGAACGCAAACATCCCATTCAGAGAGCTGCGCAAAGCAGATAGCAGGGGGCTTGTAATTATGTCTGGGTAATTCTGCCCTAATCCTCCCAGAGCCATGGGCGGGAGCTGGTGGGATCAGCTGTGACCCGGCTTAGCAAACAGAAGCCAGGAGACAAGAGGCATGTGGCTGTGTTTGGGCTTAGCACCCTCTCCAGGCAGGATTTCTGTCTGCGCAGACCCCCCAGAGCCCAGAGGAGGATGGTGTCAGAGAGACCCTTCTCTCAGGTGGGCTGAGCTCACGAGGGGCCCCAGCAGCCCACCTGGAGGCCCCACAAACATCTGTCCAGAGGTTCCTGAGCAGCTGGAATCCTGTCCCCCACAAGCATCTATATGACTTCCAACTGTGAGGCACCAGGTGCCCTGGGGACATAAGAAGGGCTAGGACGGAGGAGTCCCCAGCCCCCACAGAGACTGCCCTTGGTCCAGGTGGCTGTGAGCAGGGCCCCCGGGAGGGCTCTTCCTGGGTGTTAGCTGTAGTCTAACACCCAGGGATGGGCTCAGAGAGGGAGAGCTGTCGCGATCCACTGCCAAGGTCTGCTGCAGGCCCGGGAGCACCTAGCAGGGGTGTATGGGCAGATGGAAGCCCTCCTCAGAATTTGAGGCCAGCCCCAGAGACCGACAGCTGACAGAGCAAAAATGAGACTCCATTTGAGTGGGAATCATTGCAGCGACACTGGCGGACGCGGAAGGGCCCCCCAGCGCGGCCAGGTTGAAGCACGAAGCACTGCCCCGTGAGAACTTGGACATGAGGAGATTGGACCAACAGGTCTCCCTGATTTTAGGAGCAGAGGCCGCAGCCCCTGTGACTCAGGGGCTGATGCTGTATGTGGCATGAAAGAGTGATAAAGGAGAGGTGGGGTTTCCCTGGCTGCCCCTACCCAGGGGCCCCCAGGAGTCTATGGGGAGACTCAGAGGTGAATGGAGTTAACTTGGCCATGAGGTACAACCCAGCCACAGCCAGGTGTGTGCCTGAGGGAGGGAACCCAGGAGACAGAGGCCACTCCTACAAGCAAGAAGCCCCGAGGGCAAAAAAGGGGCCCGTGGGAGTGGGTGTGAATGGGCCATGGGGAATGTTCTGGGGGCCCTGGAGCCTGGGCCTGGAAAGGCAGATTGGGTTATTTCTTGGAGAGCCATAAAGGCCCAGGTGAGAGGCTGGGGTTTCACTCGGCACTGGGGGACCACAGACACCAGCGGAGCAGGGCAGGGCTGTGCTCTGGGAAGCTGTGCACGCATGCGTGTGTGTGTGTGTGTGTGTGTGTGTGTGTGTGTGTGTGTTTGTGTGTACACTCAGGAAGGCGGGAGGCTCAGGGTAGAGGTGGAGAAGCCAGGGTGCTGAAATCATCCAAGGAAGAGGCCTGACCCAGGGCAGACAGCGGGGGAGAGGAGAGTAATCAGGGCAATCCTGAAGGCGCAAAAGTATCAGAGCCGGCCCCTCCCTCTCTGGGCTTTTGCTCCCTGCACTTCGTACCCCCACTCCCAGGGCTGGACAGACGCCCTGGTGTGAGAGAGGGTGGCCTAGCCTTTGGGCCAAGGTCCCAGGGATGTGCAGAATCAGGGGCTAATGTGGACTCTTCTCCTCAACCCGGCAGCCTGACTCGACAGAATACGTGGATGATTCCCAGACAGCAGAACTGGCCTCATTATAAACATTTGCTGGTGGCCAGATGGAGGCCTCAGCCCCAGAAAGGTCTGCCATCCTCATCCAGACCCCCGGAATCACTGAGGCCTTAGAAACCAAGAGCGGAGTGTTCAGAATCCATACGCTTCAACCTGTCTTCAAGGATAAGAATCAACTCCGGTTCTCACACAAGCAATCATGTTGCTTAATTGTTGCTTAAATGCTTCCAGTGACTGAGCTCACTACTCCAGAGGTAGGCACCTCCAGTTGTTGAAGTTTGTTACCCAAAGTCAGGTCTGTCCTTCTGCCCTCTCCCTGAGCTTTACATTACTGTTCCCAGGTTAAGCACCCCCAGGGGCCTGTGCTCACAGGGTGACCACTGGGGTGTTGGCCATGGCCACTGTGTTCTGCACCCCTTCAGCCCAACCATGCCTTCAGGTTCTCCGAAGGGCCAAGGCACAGGCCACGCCAGGTCATGTCGAGTCCCCCAGGTCTGGTCCCTCCCTCTCCTGAGCACCACGTACCTTCTCCAGGCCGTCCTCCTTCAGGCTGATGATGTCCAGATCAAAATCTGTCCGTAAGCCACTGGTTTTGTTGAAAACAATCCGTCCAGTTAATCCTTCCCACTGAGCCTGCCGGAAGGGAGAGGGCAGAGCGGCAATTCCTCGGGCTCATAAATCATCATTCGGTACAACTGTACAATGCTTCATTTTAATTACTCTTTGCACTGATACTGTTCCCCCAAGACCATGATTAATTAATAATCACCTCCATCATTGCTCGGGCTGTGATGCAAGCCAGCGATTTCCATAAATTCTATTATGCTCTTTAGCCAGCGTTACATTTGCACCTTCTCGTGTACAACATCGATCTCAGATGCACTCAAATGAGCCCCCGCCTTGAAGCCATGAGGAGGGGGAGCCCACGGCAGGTCCCCAGAGAGGGGCAGGGAGGCAGGCGGGCGGCGTGGGGCAGGAGAGACCTGCGCAGAGGCGGGAAAGCCGAGGGGCCAAGCCAGCCCCGGCTAGAGGACCAGAGGCTTGGAGGAGAGCAGGAGGAGACAGAGAAGTCCCCTTCTCCCCCACTCCACGGGGTTACGGTTATGAATTCGGGGGACAGAATGCCAGGTCCAACCACAATTTGCTGTGCGACCTGGGGGATTACGCTCTCCTCTCTGTCTCAGGTTCCTCAACTACAGAATGGAATCCGTAATAGTACCAAAATGCCATGAAGGAGGAATGAGATAAATTCTGTAAAATACTTAGGACGGTGCACGGTACATACTTGCGCCCTGGACAAATGGCAGATTTTTTGATCTTTTGTTGTCATCAACATCGCTAACACAGAGGCTGGGGTTCGGAGAACACCCTGGACCCCAGCTGAGGTCTGGATCAGAGTAGGCGATCTGTGGCTGACAGCCCCAATTTCCCGGCTGCCTGTTTCTGTTTCCATAAACAGTGGATTAGAACTCAACCACACCCACGTGTTTACTTATTGTCTTTGGTGGCTCTGGCCCAGGGACTGCAGGCCTGAATAATTATAAAGAGACCATCTGGCCCACAAAGCTTCAATATTTACTCTCTGGCCTGTGACAGAAAAGATTTGCGGCCTCCTTTCTCGAAAATACCCTTCCGGGGGGCTCAGAGTTTACCTACGAAGTATTTCCTACAGCTCAGAGCATGTAACCTGCTGCCTGGTGGGGCAGGCCGGGTGAGGTCACCATCCCCATGTCACAGACAAGGAAGCGGCCCGAGGGCAGAGCACCTGTCATCTAAGCTCGGATCCCGGGGTCCCATCTCCCTCTGAGGCTGGAGCTATGTCCTTTCTCTCCCTTCTCCGCAGAGGTGGGAGGCCGCAGGCAGCCAGGTGAACGTCCGAATGCCACGGGCTTTCTATGTCTGGGAGAACAAACCCACGCATCCTGGAGTCCTTGGGGACCAGGGGAGCTGTGGGCTGATGGGACTGGGAAGGAGGCGCCAGAGCATGTGGGGGTTTTGAGGGTGCGGGAAGTCCTGAATATCGCAGTCCTTGCCTTCCCACCATCCTTAGTCCTTGCCTAACTACACACGGGTCAAGATCCCCTGTGGGTTCTGAAAAAGGTTTTGGGGCCTCTCCTTGGCCGAACGCCCATGATACTCATGCTTACACTCACAGTGTGACAGACAAATTCATGGGATCATGGATCCCTGGAGGCCACAGTGATGCCTGTGGGGCTCTCCAAACACTTGGGCAGCTCCAAGGCAGCATGGGAAGACTGAGGCAGAGAGGGGTGGGGCCCGGAAGGGGTCCGGGAGGTTGTTCAAAGGAGATGGATAGAATGTGATCTAACCTCTCTGAGCTTCAAGAAGGGGAAATGACCTGTTTCCTAGGTGTTAAAAAAGATGCATGAAGTGCGTAGCAAGCGCCTGGCCTCCACACCCACGACTATGTGGCCTATACTGCTGTTTCTCCTTTGTGGTTTCCTTTCATGGAGCTCCCCTGGACCAGGGCTGGCGCTTGGCTGGGAGGAGGGCTGGTTACTTGGGCCAGGGCCTGAGGCCTCAGTGGAAATCCCATCATAGAAAGCTAACCTCCTTCCCTGAATGCACTGATTTCGTCTCATGACATTCCTGCCTGGTGGGTGTCACTGTCGCTCCCATTTCATGGTCCTAGACACTGAGGCTCAAAGAGGGGCTGAGCTATACACAAAGTCCCACAACATGGTGGTGCAGGGCAGAAGCCTGGGCGGCAGGAACAGCTGAAGAGCTTGGCCTCACCGTGCCCAAGTTCTGAGGGAGAGGCTTCTAGAGCCCAGGGGGCCAGAAGCGGGGCTGGGGACAGAGATGGAAAGATCAGAGAAGGTGAAGACCACTGTTCATGGCTTCACAGAGAGACTCAGCTCCCTGTCACTGCAGGCTTCCTTCCCCTACTCTGCACCCTCAGGCTCTCTCCGGCCCCCCAGGGAAATCACAGCAGGTGCCTTCAAACCTGCATTCAGAGGGAGAAGCCTTCCCCTTGTCAGCTGTGGAGGAATGAAATGCCAGCAAGGGCCCGGACTGGTGGGGGGGGGGGGGGGGGGGCAGGGCAGGGCAGGGTAGGGCAGGGGGCCGCTGGCAGCTCCTCCCCGTGACATTTCCCGGCCTGCCTGCTCCTTGCAGCCACCACTCAAGACTCGCTAAATGAAAGATGCTTCACACGCTCTGAACTCCGGCCTGGTATTTTCCAGCTCCTCTCGGAAATGCCAAGTCTTTAAAATGATTTACTGTCACGCAGTCAGGTGGGGAGACGGGCAGCTCGGAAATGGTCTGAGGGAAGACGGTGTGCTGGGCTCAGGCGGGCGACTCGGGTCCCAGGCTCCGGCCGCTGTGGCACTGCGGGCAAGCCACGTGGCTGCTCTGGGCCTTCGTCTCCACCGTCCTCAGATGCAGGCGACACGGAGATGTCCCTGAAGGGGCTCTTGTAAAGGAGCGTGAGTGTTGAGAGCCACTCGCCTGGCCAGCAGCCAGGAAACAGCAGGTACACCTGGGTAAGCCAGTCAGCCCGGGGAGGGAGAAGGGGGCCCCTTCCTCTGGTGTATGCCATGACGAACCTGGTCCCCTCAGGTCTTCAGCACTGAGCCTCAAAAATTCCAAGAGGTGAGGGGCAAGCAGGGTGGGTGTTCCCCAAAATGATGTGGCCTGGGGAGCGTCGTTAGCTAGAAACCCACCTGGGAACGAGAAGCCACAGCGAGGCAGTCATAGTGACAGAGAACATAGCAGTCGCCCCTCTGTTGAGTATTGACTCTGTGCCAGCCTCTGGCCTAAGTGCTCCACACACACCCTAACTCACTTCTTCCTGCAACAACCCTAGGAAAGTCTCCAGAGTACAGAGGCAGACCTAAGGCACAGAGAGGTTCAGAGCTTGTCAAAGGTCACACAGCTAAAAAGTGGGTAAAAATTCAAAGGCATTTTTGTGTGGCTCATAAGGGACCCGGGGTTGTGGCTTGGGTCACCAACCCCCTCACTCTGGCCTCTGGCCCCTCTGCCGGATGCCTGCCGAGGAAGGAGACACAGTGGGCTAGGAGTCAGGCCTCAGAGCTCCCGGAGAACAAGTGGGTGATCCCCCAGGGTAATCAGGCCTGCTCAGGTCACTGGACAATCAGCCTTCTTCTGCAGTTTTGAGGGGCTGGGTGAGAAGGGACTGTCATATTCCCCTTATGCCAACACAGCTGACACCGGATGGAGCCCCTTCTGGGCATGAGGGGAGCCAGTGGCAAGGACTTCATGCCTCCCTCACCACGATGGTGAGAGGATGTTTGCCATGGGAGAAAATGGATGCTCGGGGATGTCTAGGAACACGTGTGAAGGCACACAGCCGGGAGAGGCAGAGATGAGCTCCACGGGCATGTGCGTCAGACTCTACAGCCCGTGTCCCATCCCCATTCCTTTAGGCACCATTCCCAAGCAGGGATGGGGACCCCAGGACTTGCAGAAAAGCCCCCCTGTCTGCTGCGTGTAAGGTGGTGACTCTCTTCGCCATACACCCTCCTAGAGCTGCCTTCCTTTGCACGTGGGGTTACGTCCCTGAACGCGAGGACTCAATTCACATCTGCTCCCTCCCGGGGCTGTGAGCTCGGTGAGCGCAGGGGATCGTCCGTCTTGGTCCCACTGGATCCCCGGGCCTGGTGCCCAGCAGGCCCACAACAGCCAGCTGCTGAATAACAGAATGAGCGCTCAAGGCAGCCTGACTCACGGGGCCGGTGTGACTGCCACGGAGCCACCGTCATACACCCCTTTCCAAGGGCTTCTCTCCACGGCACCTGGAGTCGCCTGGACATGGTCACTCCTCTGACCCGGGCTAACCCTGCCCCGATCTCCTCTCCAAGCCTTCTTCATCCACCATTTACTGGGATTTGACTCTGCCCACGTCCTGGCGAGATGCTCTGTGGACAGTTTGTACACCGTCTTCTCAGCAACACCGAGGCCAGTACTCTTTATGCCCATTTTACAGCCAAGGAAACTGAGAATCAAAAGATTGATCCTCTCACCCAAAGTCACACAGCTTATTGCGATACTGCCAGACTGCTTGGTCCTGGCCTTAGCTTCCCCACCTGTAAAATGGGAACGATGAACTGCCATCCGCAGCTTACAAGGACAAGAATGATGGAGAGTCCTTCGGAATTATCGGCTGTGACTGTGCATGTCAGTGGTTGTCTCACAGCAGGACAGATTTCTGCTCTCTGGTCTCTCTGAATCAGCCCTAAGGATGGGACTTCTCCATAGCTGCAGAGCTGGGTCCCGGGGGGCCCGTGATGTGAAGAGGGGTTTGGAGGGCTGATTATCTGGCCAGCCTCCTCTGCCCCGCTACTGCCCTGAGCCCTGCCCCGCTTTCCACACAGGGGTCTCGTCTCAGCTTCCTGGCATGCTTTGTACCCCATTTTGCAGATGAGGCAACCAAGGCTCAGCAAGGTTCTCCAGCTTGTCCAAGGTCACACCGCCAGGGGCAGAGACTCTCATCTGTCACACTGGAAAGCCCACGCAGGTTCTGCTGACAACGCAGACTGCCCATGGCGACCCTCGGAGGCACCAGGGCCATAGCCTCTCAACTGCCCTGTGAGATTGGTCCCGTCCACCCCATTTTCACCCAAGGAAACAGAGGCTCAGAGATGTGAACCAATGTGCCCAGGTTCGTGTGGACTGGAATATGATTCTGCCTGCCTCCCACAGCTGCGCCTTGGCTCTGCAGCACCGAAGACCCCCAGCAAGGAGGCCCAGGCGGGGGCGGCGGGGCAGAACTCACCTCCTTGATGAAGTTCATGAAGCGGCCGCCAAAGCGCCAGGCCTTGTGCCGATGGCACTGCAGGGAGTTCACGGTCATCTGCGGGGCCCGCTGGTAGCACACGGACACGATGTGGACGGCGTCGTACAGTAAGGCCGCGTCAGTCTGGAGGGCAGGGTATGTAGGGCTTGCCTGAGAGCAGCTCCCCAGCCACGAGGGAACTGCTCTCACCCCAGGCACATGGGGTCCTGACGAGGGAAAGGCCCAGAGTGACCCCGTCCGTGCCCCCAGCGAAGGCCAGGCTTGGGCGTCCTAGCTGTCCAGCTGATACCCAACTCCTAGCCTGTCTGCAGCTCGGACCGTCTCCTTCCTGGTCCCTCTCCTTCATCCCATCGCTCCTGCTGCTCCCAGGCCCTATCCACACCTTCTCCTTCCCTGCCTCCTAGGCTCCAGCTGGTTACAGCTCAGAGCCCTCTGTGGCCAGGACCCATGGGTCTTTATCCTCGCACTCTGTAATACCCCATTTATAAGCATCCCCTCTATTGCCCTTGAAGGGGACTGTGTCTGATTCCTTGTGTTCCCAGGGTCCAGCTTGAGGTCTGGTTGATACAGGACAGGTCTTAGGAAGGGAAATGGTGGCAGGGAAGACAGAGGTAGGGAAGAGAGGACTGAAGAGGGAAGGGAGTGGGGGTTGCGGAGGAAGGGGCGCCCGCGGATGTGGCCCGCCTGGCTGGGATACCATCATCACGCCGTCCAGCAGGCCAGACTCTGCCCGGGGAGCCGCCTGCAGCCGCTCCATGGACCACTTCTCCACGATGGCTGAGACATGCGGGTTGTCCACGTTGAGGATCCGGAACCCCGTCAGGTTCACCCCTGAGTAGCGGTAGGGCTCCAGGTCTAATGCATATAGATCCTGGATGGAAAGAGGTTCAAGTTAATAAAGGTGTGGCCTGCTGTATGCTCCAGCCACCCCTCACCCTGGCCACCACTGCCTGCCCCCGACTCCCTTCTCTGAGTGCCGGGAGCCCAAGGTTGCAACTCCCTGCAGAGCCCTTCCTGGCTTGAGGTGAGGCTTGGCATCGGTGGAGAGCCCGCAGGAGGGCTGGACGGGGAATCAACTAGAACGTCCTCGGATGGGTGGCTGACCTCACGGACTCACCGCTGCCCCCACCCCTGGGCAGGTGGCTCTGCTGGATTCTTCGTCTGCAAAATGGGCCTCATACCTCCTTGATAGGACCCAGGGCAACAGTTCACATAAAAGGCCCGGCCCAGAACATCAGAGGAGTTTGTTAATGGTCATAAAGGTCATGTCTGATGACGGGGACACCCACTTTGGGAGGACCAAGAGCCCTGGGCCTGGGCATCTCCCAGTGACCCAGAGAGAAGCTGTTGTATGCCCCACGAAAGACTATTTTTTAAAAAATTCTTTTTCCTAGCTTTTGCACAGGGAAGGAAACCATCAACCAAATGAATAGGCTGAAAGGGAGAAGAACTTGAGAAGATGCTCACTGTCACTGATCACTAGGGAAATGCCCATTTCCAAAACCACAAGAAGCGATCACCTCCCACCTGCCAGAATGGCTAAGATCAAAAGACATCACAAGTGTTGGCAGGGATGTGGAGAAGAAGGAACCTTCATGCACTGGTCGGGGGAACGCAAACCCATGCAGCCACTCTGGAAGGCGGTACGGAGTCTCCTCAAAGAATTATTAAAACTAAAACTTCCCTACGATCTCACAATTCCACTTCTGGGTATTCATCTGAAGAAAGCAGAAAAACTAATTTGAAAACAGAGGTGCGCTTCTATGTTCACTACAGCACTGCTTACAAGAGCCAAGATATGGAAGTGTCCATCCACGGATAACGGATAAAGACCACGTGGTGTGTACGTAGAGGAATATAACTCAGCCATAAGGAGAACAACGTCCTGCCTCTTGTACACCGTGGCTAGACCTCCAGGACATTATGCTGAGTGAAGTCAGACAGAGAAGGACAAATATCGTATGATTTCATTTACATATATGGAATCTAAAAAACAAAACAAGCTCATAGATACAGAGAACAAACTGGTGGATGCCAGAAGGGAGAGGGTTGGGGGGATGGGCCAAATAAGTCAAGGCGGTGAAGAGATACAAAGTTCCAGTTATCAAATAAGTAAGTCATGGGGATGTCATGCGCATAGAGAATGCCGTCAACAATAGGGTAATCACTTTGTATGGTGACAGATGATAACCAAAGCTTTTGTGCAGATCATTTTGTAATGTACAGAAATACTGATTGGCTGTCTGGTACTCCTGAAATGAACATAATATTGTAGGTCAATTATAATTCAATTAAAAAATGGTCTTTCTGCTTGGGACTCAAGGAATGCCGCTGCCTTCTTCTCTCCCCTCACCTCCGACATCACCAGCCAGGTCTCATCACCTGCTGTGTCCTGGGAGCAGTGGACTAACAATCAGGCTTTCTGTCCATAGTCAGGTGGTATCCAGTCTGGTGTAAGGAGTAGACCCCAGCCTAGGGGCCAGGAAGCCTGGCCTTAATGAAGCCTGGTCTTAATGCATGGGGCATTCGAGCTTCAGTACCTCACAGCTCCAGCTCTGGGGCAAGGGGAGCCTTGAGGCAAGGAGGCAGCCAGGGATTGAGGGGAGGGGTGTGTTGTGTGGAGGGAGAAGCCAGGTGCTAAGCTAGGAGAAGTGGCAGTGGTGAGGAGGTAGGGAGAGCAGAGCAGAGCTCCCTCCTGTTAAGAAAAAAACCCCCAAACTTATAAAAAAGGCAGAAGGAGAGCAGCATCTCCATTCAATGCAGTATGGGAGCATCCCTTACCAGGCCAGCCCAGCCCTGTGATCCTCCCGGAGAAGGGGCCCAGGTCTGACTTCACGGCCAGCTGCTGCTTGAAGGTCCAGACTCTGGGTTAACTTGGAGATCGTGGCCCATTGTAAAGATAAACCCCAACGTGGTGGCTTTATTACCCTTGCAGGACATTAATCTGTTTTGTAACCAACTGAGCCGTCTTATTTGGTGTTTTTCCCTCCCAATAAAAACTCAATCCCTCCCAAGCTCTCTGAGCCTGTCTTACCATCCTACTGGCTCCCTTGTTAACGAGTTGGATGTACCTTTGACACATGTTCATCCTATATTTGCATGAGCCATTTTTTACTTTTTGAGAAAACATATTATTATGATGATCTAGATTGGTCCCTTCCTACTAGTGGTTTGGAAACTGAGTCCTAAGGTCCTCCTGGTGAACTCTCTATTCTTTTCTATGCTCTACCCTCATCAACCTGCCTTCTTTCCTGGACCCTGGTCCATCCTCTTTCCTGGGCCCCTCAACTCCTATGCAGCATCCTGTGCTGGGAGAGAGGCAGGACACCCGGGGGGCTGTACTGTTCTCTGCACGCCTGCAGCCATCAGGGCCATCACAGTCCAAACTTTGGTAAACTCGATGGTGGCTCGAGGAACGTTGAGCCCGTGGGGCAGCTCTTCCGCAGGGTGCTGGCTTCCTTTGGTCTCTCAGATATTCCCAGCTGATGCTAAATTCCTCCTGTTCTAGCTGCATGCCCAAAATGGGTTCCTTCTGGAATGCACAGTGTTGGTTTCCTCTTGGAAGGTTTAGGGAACAGGGTGTCGGGTAGGGATCTGGAGCAGACTCGAGCCCCGGGCAAGAAAATTTCATCCTAGCCTTGCTCAGACAACTAGGGCACTGATTCCAGGCCAGGACTTGGGGTGGGCCTGGACTTGAAGGTGGGATCTTCAGCAGATGGGGGATTTCTTACTGAGTGGGCCCAAGGTTGCCTGCCCCAATCTCAGTGGGGAGGGGAGGGTGGGCATCGCGCCCAGCCCTGCACATGGAGGACACCATCCCATCCCGACACCCCTGCGAAGTAGCTGTTTAACAGTATGCTCCTTCTACAGATGAGGAAGCAGCTCAGGGGCATGAGGTGAGCTGCCTGAGCTCAAAAAGCTCATAAAAGTCAGAGCAGAATTTGCATTCAGGTCTGTTTCAGTGGGTGGGGGAGCTGGCTCATGCTGGCCTCGGGGAGCTGACTGTCACACTTCTTCTTGCCTCTGCCTCCAGGCACCTCTCCTTGGTTGCTTGGTACCAGCCTTGGTGGGAGTGTTTACACCATGGAAATTAGCAGCGCTCCAGATCCAGGGTTTCCCTCCCACACACTTGAACAGCGGGTGGCACACTGCCGTCTGTCTTATTCAAACACTCCTGTGTTTTATGCCCCAGTGATCGCCAAACATGTGACATGTACCTGATCAGTCTTTGGAGCTGTTCTAGGGCGTATAAGCTGCAGAGAGTCTGGGGTGCGGCCTGGCAACTCTGTGATTTGGGAAGCCCCTCATCTTAGTCATGACTCCTGACAGGCGGAGCTGGGGACAGGTGTGGAATCAGAGAGGAGCGGAGGGGTGCGGGGAGGGCATGCCCAGAAGGAGGCCTCGTTCCCCGCAGTGCCTTCCCGAGCGCAGCGCACAGAGACAGCCCGGGCAAAGCCGGGGAGCACAGACTGCGAGGCCAAGCCATCTGGGTCCCAGCTGCATCTACCTTCCTTACCTCTGTGGGTTCAGCTGCCAAAATGCAGACGATAATAACAGGACCTAGCAGGTGGGGTTGTCATGAGGAAGAAGTGGGTTCACGGGTATGCGCAGAGCACGTGTGCCGTATGGGAGACGTTAGGTGAGTGTTTGACTGATGCTTCTCTTCTGCTTTCTCTGGTTGCCGGTCCTCTGCGTGACGGGCATGGGATATGGCCCCAGGGACATGCCCAGATGTTGGAGGAGAGGAGCAGACAGGAGCTGGGTCCTTCCTGCTTACCCGTCTTGGCAACATAGGAACAATCTCGATGGGCTAATAGCTATGAGCACCCGTGAACCCCAGAACAGCAGGCAGTGTTCTAAGTGCCTTTTGTAAATGAACTCGCTGAATTCTCATTTCCACCTTATCCAAGGAGTGTATTACCATCACTCCATTTGGGAGGAAAGAAATGAGTCACAGAGAGGTTAGGTTTCATGGCTAACCCGGGGAGCAGTGGAGTCCAACCCGGAGCAGTGGAGTCCAACCCTCTGTCCCATGACCAGCCCGCCATCCACACAGCATTCAGAACGGTCTCTGGGATCCAACCCCCTCACTCCCATGTTTATGGATCCTTAATGCCTTCTCAGAATGAGATGCAAGTTCCTTAGATTAGTTCACAAGGCTCTTCACCCCTCTCCAGCCCCACTTTTCTTCCCACACCCTCCCATGTTTGTTTTGGGAACCAAAGCACTTTTGTTCCCCTCCCTTTCTCCCTGACCACTGCCCATGCCCCCATCATGCAGCTTCTGTCGCTGTGCCAGCATTTATGCGTGTTCTAGCCTCCGGCAGGACTGTCTGTCTTCTCAACCCTCTTGGGTGGGCTATTCTCTGAGATTCAATTTAAGTGGCACCTCTTGCAGGAAGCCTCCCCTGACTTCTCTTTTACACCTGCACAATAGGAAGGGGGTCAGGGGGGCTTTTGCTCTTATCCTGGGAGTTCTTGGCTTTCACTCTACTGATAACAACTGTTAGTGTCTGTGTCTGTCTCCCCCATGAACCCCTGAGCCAAATACCCCTGTCACCCAAAGTGGAAAGAAAGGTCAGCCAGCCAAGTAGCTCTCTGGGACACCTAAACAGCAGTGGGAGGGTCTGGGATGGGGGACTAGTGTTTCACATCCTCCTCTCAGGGGGAGTTCTCAGTGAAGCCGGAGGCTAGGAAGGGTTTGGTAAACTGCCCGGGGTGGGGGAGGGTGAGACCCTTAAGGGGCCTGCTTTAGTATCAAGAGATCTTCCCCCAAATCGTCTTTGAAGGCAGGTAAGGGGAGGTGGAGCCGTTTTGTTCTGCAGAATGGAGAATGTGAGTTTGGGGCCAGAGCTAACTTGTGGGGCTATGGAAGAGAAGTTGACTTCTGCCCCCAGGGGCGCCCTCCTCACTCCACCCCTGCACAGGATCCAGCCTCCTTTCCAAAGCAGGGCTGACCAATAGCTAAGGCCCGAAGGGCCAAAGCATCAGCCTGACCAGGGTGTCCGAGACTCAGTTCGCCCTCCTCTAGGACCAGAGGCCAACCGGACTCCGTGGGAAGCGTGGCAGCTCTGGCCCTGGTGGGGGGCTTTGGGGGCTGGTGACAGCACCCTTCCCATCTCCAGATGTAGCACGTGGTCTGCTGACACTCACTCTGTGTCCACAGCCATTTGAGCCCGGGGAGGGGGGCGGGACGGGGTGTCACTGCTGGGATCGCTTCCTTCCCTGTCACCCCGAGCCTGGGGCACAAAACGTCCCCACTCCCATGAAGTGAGGGCAGCGATGACGGGGAGCTGCTAAAGAGGCTTCTTTGTCCAGCTCCAAGTCTGTGTCCACACTGCCCTGAGACCCCAAGCGCTGTACACAGTGAACCCTGGGCAACCTTGCCGCTTGGCAAAAAGTTGCTGTTCTCCATGCCAAATGTTGACACACTGAATTCAGTATCGACGAGGGACCTTTTAGAAACATTCAGCATAACATAATAGACTAATTCATTAGCACCCCATGGGTCTGACTGGGTAGAAGCTGAAGCTCGGAAAACATTGCCTTAAGGAATGACAGATGAAAATATCTTTCCCATGATATAACTGTTATTGCCGGGAAGTGGCATTAATTGTGATTGCTTATCTATTAATTTATTATAATTCTTTCTTCACCTCCAGGCTTTTACCTACACATGACATGTACCAGGGGCTCAGCTGGGGCTGATTAACGCGGGGTTATCTGGGAAAGGCTCGAAGCTGGCTGGAGCAGATAATGGCCGCTGGGGTAATTAAAATGTCTTCCCATTTTGGAGAATTTTTTGGAGGCGAGGCGCTGGTGATGTGGGTTTCCTAAAGGGAAGGAGATAAATGCCAAATGCCACCGCCCTCCTGAAATACAGCCTCGACGGACCAATGGGCTCAGGGAGGCAGCATCACGAGGTAGGCTGTGAAGCCAACGGGGGCTGGAGAGAGGATCGTGGAGCTGGAGCCGAGGCTGAAGCGGGATGAGGGCCGGAGCGGAGGGCCCAAGGGACACAGCTGCCACCCTGGAAGGTGGGCGGGGAGGGGGCAGCTGGGGGAGAGGCTGGTGGACCCCTTCTGTGCCGACACACACAGACAGCAGAGCTGAGCGTGGTGTGCGGGGTGTCCCTCCCTGGGAAGATCCACTGTCCCTGACCCTCAGAGAGGCACGGGGAGGACGAGCAGGGGGCCAGGACAGCCATGCACAAGACCGGCGGTCGGCACCAAGGCCTCTACCCCTGATCTGCTACGAGACTCTGGACAGCTCCCTCAACCTCTCTGGTCCCTCGTTGGCCCCTCCATCAAAGAGGAGCAAAAACCCTGCCCTGGGAAGAGGAAAAGCAGCGATGTGAGAAAGGGCTTGGGAACCTGTGAAGTGTGGGCCCTGCTGAGATCTGTGGAGGCTCCATTCCTCCCCCCACTGGCGTCAGTCACCACGTCTGGCCCATCGCTGCTGGGTGGCCAGAGGAGGCCAGCCCCCGCCTCGTGCGGGCTTTCAGCATGACAGCTCCCAGCGGAGGCCCTCGGAGCTGGACAGCTCCCAGCTGGTAAAAGCCCTCCCTCTGCCCCTTTCTTGCTGGGTGACCTCTTGAGCCTCGGTTTCTACTTTGCTATAAAGTTGGGCGATCATACCTCCCTTGGAGAGGCGTTCTGGATTTGTGGATGAGACGTTGTAAGCTGAATACAGAGAAGACCTACGCGGGAGCTACTTCACCCACTGAACTCTTACCTCCTACTCTACTCAAATAAACACCGGGCACTTGACACAGCGGTAGGGCTGTTACTGTACCCATTGTGTAGATGAGAAAAGGAGGCCCAGAGAGGTGAAGTAGCATACCCAGGGAAATGGAAGGATCTTGACTCTAACTCACGCAGGCTGGCCCCAGAGTCCATGGTCTTAACTGTTGCCATGACAAGATTGTTGATAACTTCGTGGATTACTTTCTACTTTGTATGGTAGTCATTCGCTCATTCAAGCATTCATGAGTGCCTACTGCATACCAGGCACTCTTGGGGTGCTGGAGATGGATAGGTGAACCGGGCACAGTCCTTGATCTCTATATGCATGAAGGAAGCCTGCCAGCTGGTGAGTGTTGTTGGGTCCATCTCCGCACACTCTCTCCCACCCAAGTGCCCAGCTCAGTACCTGAGGCCTGAGAGGATCTGTACATGCCTGCTGCAAGTGAGTAAATGGATGCCTGAATTAAGGAAATGAAAAAATAAGAGAAATGGATGATGTCTAGGGCTGGAGGAGGCCCTGCAGCATTAGGAGCCTGCCCTGAGCCTCCCTCCAAGACCTCTAACCTTGACCCCAGGAAGGCAATGGCATTAATGAGAGCAACATGGGGGCGCCGGGGTGGCTCAGTGGGTTAAACCTCTGCCTTCGGCTCAGGTCATGGTCTCGGGGTCCTGGGATCGAATCCTGCATCGGGCTCTCTGCTCGGCAGGGAGCCTGCTTCCTCTTCTCTCTCTCTCTCTGCCTGCCTCTCTGCCTGCTTGTGATCTCTGTCTGTCAAATAAGTAAATAAAATATTTTTTAAAAAATGAGAGCAACATGGGAAGAGCCTTCTCTAGAGCCTTGCCTGAAGGTCCATAGGGCTAAGGGCCCAGATGTTGGTCTTAGTACCCTAGAAGCCCAGGGCTACCATGCCTGGGGACAGGGCCTTGGGCCCCTGGAATGGGACCCTCTGCACCTTCCCAGCCTTGCTCCTCTACCTGGCTCCTAGTTCCAAAAAGAGGTAGAATATGGGAGATCTGGGGACCTTATCCTCCAGCTTCTAATGATTTTCCAGGATATAGCACGACATGGAAAAATCAACTTGGGTGGGCAGAAATCCAGGAAGAACTTGGGGAAGAAGGTGCCTGATCTTAGTCACCAGCTTCCAGAATCCCTTTCTTCCAACGTGACTCCGGGCAGACGCCCAGAGCTGAGCCCTGGATCAAGAGCATGTGCAGGTGGGTCTTGAGCTCCGCCATGGGCACAGGGAACGGTGGGTGGGGAAGAAGCCATGGTGTGCTGGTAAACACACAGTAACCAGCTCTCAGGGGAGGGGAGGTTGCAAACCCTTCTTCATAATACCCACCAACTTTGGTGGTATGAATACTCCTTCCACCACAGCCAACTTCAAGCTACCTCCATGCTATCACTGAACGTGGATTTGGGAGCAGATGACTGCAACGGGTTCTAGAAATCAGTCAGCTCTCCAGTGAAGCTCCAACCTGTCACTTGGCCTTTGCTTATGCTGTTCCCTCTGCATGGCAAACTCATCCTCTCTCTCCTTAGTGAACTCCTACTGATCCTTCAAGGCCCCAGTTAAGCATCTATCTCCCTGCCTCAAATTTCCCACCTTCTGCCAGCCCCTCTGCACCCAGTGTCTCCTTTCACAGTGCTCCACAGCCGTGTCCAAGCATGTCATGGCACATGTGTGCCAAAGGAGCTAGACGCGGAGGTGGGGACGGCACAGGATGGGAGCTCCTCGAGGGTGGGGCCTCCACGCAGTCGTCCTGAGACCCTCACTGATGCCCAGGCACTGGGGAAGGAGGGTTCCTGGGTGCCAGACAGATGAGCGAACACAGAAGCCTGCCAGGCTGTCGGTGATGCCACCAGGTGCCCCAGAACCGGGCTGGGTGGAAAAGTCCTCCCAGAGCCCCAGCGAGGTGCTAGGACATCTACTCCAAGGCACGGTGGCTGGGTGTGGATGCCCCTTTGCCACAGGGATCTCTTTATTCTGCTGATTTCAGGCCACAACTAATTATCCTAATGGGTTTAAATGGCCCTCAATGTTCTCCGAGTTTGGACAGGACCCATCTGGAGCCTGCAGGTGGGCTGGCCCAGCTGAGAGTGAGTGGGCAGACTTCAGCACAGATGCTGCAGGAATCCAAAGTAGTATTTCCTGTTGTTGCGTGAGGACTGAGACATCCTCAGGGAAGTGTGTGGGCTAGGAGCTGAGGGTCTTCCTAATAAGAGCAGCTAATACTTTTACTGCCTTCACACCAATCAGGGACTGCCCTCAGCATTTTATTTTTGGAGTTCAACATTCTAGGAGGTAGAAGCCATTATCGCACCCATTTTGCAGACGAAGAGGCTGAGGCCAGGAAGTTAATGACTGACTAGTCCTCAGAAGGGGTTGTGTTGACACAGGCAGGTCTAGACTCCCTGTCCTGAGTCACAGCTCTGGGGTGTTTCTCAAAGTGGGTATGCCACAGAGATGTCTCTGGGTCCTTGCCTGAGGCTATACCTAGAGCCTTTGGAAGCAAGGCCAGCCTGAGTCTCCTCTTGCTGTTGCAATGGTCCCCACCAGGCTGATCGTGTTCTGAGGGGGTCCCACCCCAGCCCGTGTCGGGACCCAGGGGTACGTTACCAGAGTGGTGAAGATGAAGTGGTAGTACTCGGTCATCATGCCCATGGCCATGGCCTGCGGGAGAGCAGAGCATCAGCATTGTGCAGGGAGTACCCGGAAGCCCCCTCCCCTCTCCCGGCAGTGAGGACCAGACTGGGGTGGTGGGCTTGGGGGAGGTGGGCCACTCGGAGTGGGATGTCCTCTGAGACCACCTCCCTGAAGTGATGACTGGCTGGCAGACAGCGGGGGGGCGGGGGTGGTGGTGTTTCCCTGGAGTGTGCTGCCAAGTCCTTGGGACACATTCAAATACAGAATCTCGGGGCTCCTAGGTGACTCAGTCAGTTAGGCATCTGCCTTGGGCTCAGATCAGGATCCCTGATGTCCTAGGATCAAGTCCCCGCATCAGGCTCCCCACTCAGCAGAGTCGGCTTGTCCCTCTCCCTTTGCCCCTCTCCCTGCTTGTGCTCACACTCTCTCTTTCTCAAATAAATACACAAAATCTTTTAAAAAAAAATGCAGAATCTTGGGCTGTACTCTGCATGCAAAGATTCAAAATTCTGCAGGGCTGGGCTGGGCCCAGTCTTCTGGCTCTTCCATGAGCATCTCTGTGCTTGCTACACTTAGAGAAATGCAGTTGGAATGAGCCCCAGACTGTCTTCTCAAGGGCTCTGGCTCCACCCAGCTGCACTCACTGTCCTGGCTGGAGAGGGAGGTATGTGAAAGCTTGCCCCTGTCCCCGCCCTGGCCCCAGCCCAGCCAGGCCCCAGGAGGAGAGGCTGTGCTGGGGTTGATCCTCCCTGGAGGGTGGAGACAGCATAGCCCGGCTTCCCTGTTCCAGGTGACCACCCGGCAGGTCGCTCCGTTGCCATGGAATTATTACTAGGTGTCATTACGAAGCCTGTATTACCTACATTTACGTGTTTTATTAGAAACCTATAATCTATATTACTAACAACCATAATGCACTTTCTACAGAATTCTTCAGAATGCCAGGCCCCCTAAGTGTTCTGGAAGAAAATGGTCCCAGGGTCAGGTACACGTGGAAAGTGCCACTCCTTCTCTTGCCCTCTTGGAGACTTACAACCCATGTCAGCAAGTTCAAGGCTCAAACCAGGCCTCAGCCAGCAGCCATGGTTACCTCTGCAGAGCTCGGGGTTTAGAGGGGCACACGGTCTCCAGTTTTAATTCTGGATGTTTTCAAGTCAGACAGACATGGGAGTAAATTCTCACTCTCTGGCTGGATGACCCGGGCTCCTTCCTTTCCCCAGGAACCTCAGGTTCCTCACCAGTAAACTGGGCATGATAACCATTGCCACCTGCCAGGGGGGCGCTGACTGAGGGGCTCCGGACACCTGGCACATGGTCCCTCCTCAGCGTGACCAGCCAGGGTTGTGGCGGTCTCTGCTACATGTACCAGGAAGAGAAGGGAAGCACTAGGCGTGGGCCGTCGTCCAGGGAGGAGGGGTGAGGGTTCCCTGGGGGACATCGGTTTCCTCCACAGTGACCCCACAGAGGCCCACACCCAGTGCCGACACTGGGCTACACTTTTTCCCTGCCTCATCTCAGAATCCTCCGTCCCCATCTGAGGCAAAGATCCCTGGTTTTGTCTACAGAGGAGGGGAGGACACTGGGGCTCCTTGCTCTCAGGCGCACAGAAGTGAGATTTGAACCCCCAAGTGAGCTATGCACCTGCCTCGGGGTGAGGGAGCCTGGGGGAAGACACTGGCTGCTGGGCTGCCTGCATACCCTCTGTAGGGCCAGACCGGAGGGTGGGACTTGGACCAATGTCCCCACCCTAACCCGTCCTGGGACTTGAAAACTCGTATCCCTGGCATGGCACCTAGCCCCCTGCGCTGTGTCTCCTCCTCACCAGCTCCACCCTGCCAGGTCAGGACTTAGAGCTCCACAGAACGCCTCCTTCAATCACCAAGGCCACTTTCTGGGACTGTGTAATTGCCTTTTACACAAAGCACAGGCTCAAATGGGAGCGTTCTGGGTTTCAGCTGTGGCACCCTCCAAGGAGGCTGTGGGCGATTTTGCCGTTTATTTCTTAGGTAGCTGGCAGAGATGGCTCTGGTTCCCAGCACACCACACTGGGCTGTGTCTGGAAAGGAACAGAGGCCCATCCAGGACCCAGAGCCATCTCCCTCCCCAACGGTCGCTGCAGAGCTGAGCAGATGGCATGGGGAACGTCAATAAACCTCCCGGTAGTAGAATAACCACAAGCGTTCTGGGCCACGGGGAACTCATCACAAAAGACGCAGTGCCCCCCCCCCCCACCGGGGACTGTTCCTGCCACCCCGAGGCCTCCCAGGGCTTCCCGAAATGTTCAGTCCTGCTCCGCTTCAGACCCTGCCTCCCACCTGCAGCCATAGCCTGGAAGCGAGCACTGAGGCAAGAGCCACCAGGCACTAGGCTGGGCTCAGCCCTGGCATCGCTCCGTCCTCACGCGGGCTCAGACCTTGGAGACCACACATGTCCATTCTGCCGCTGCAGAAACTCACGCGTGGGGGTCAGTTCAGCCAGACTGAAGCAGAGCTGGGCTCCCCCCACCCCCACCGGCTCCAGTCACCTCCTGCTGTGGGTGAGTGGGGAAAGTGGGGGTGGGGGAAGGGGCAGGCAGGTCCCGCCCCTCCCTTCCATGCCCCGGGCTGGCTGGCACTCACACACCTGCTTGAGGATCTGGGCGGCCATGGTGTGACTGCAGTCGAAGATGATGCGGAATTCCCGGCCCCGCTTCATCTCCTTGAGTAGCGGACGCGAGTCGTCCGAGTCAAGGGGCAGCTGGCGGATCTTCAGGCGGATATTGTACCTCGACGGGGCCATGATGAGCTCCTGCAGGCGGATGAGCCCTGGGAGGTCCCCGGGGTGCAAAAGACACACGTGTACACACAGGTAAACATGGCTGTCAGCCTCCACGGACTCGGGCTAGCACATGGCCTGTGGCTGCAGGTCTGTGCCCACACACAGACACACAGACAAGGATGCGTGGCCCACAGAGCTTTGGGCAGGTGTGTGGACAGAGCCACGTGGGTACAGACATGGCACCAGGATTCTTGGGTGTGGCTGTGTGCACCAGGCTGTACATGCCGGCACACATTCCCGGATATGTAGGCACCTACAAACACATGCTTAGAGGGACATGTTTGCTGACACAGACATATGTTGGGACTTCCTTACACGTGCACATCAAAGCCTGTGCATACACAGACACACAGACACACGTACAGATTAGCAGTAGGTACAGACAGCAAATTCCCGCAAACCGCGTCTATGTGCTCCCCTCTACACTAGCCTTTATGGAGTCCAAACCAGAGGGCACCCCTCTTCGTCACCCCACGTATGACACTGGGAAGTTGGGAACCTACCTCTAGGACATGGGCACAAGTGAAGGCTGCAGGCTCAGGTGTACCAACTGTTGGACTATGTAAGACAAAGAGGTATTTGTGCCCCCAACCCAAGGGCAGCCTACCTCAGTAAACCTGACTGATTTTTCCAGGCTCTGTGCAATCACCTCCTCCATGAAGCCTGCCCCTACTGCTCTTTCCAAACAAGACATGCCATCCCTCTCCCTCTTCCCCTCAGCACTAGCCTCCTCTGGCCTCTTCTCACTCCCTCGTCCAGCCATGGCCTCCTTAACCTCATGGGCTGGGTCCCCACAGCCCCTAGCATGGGACCTGGCACTTCGGAGGCCCTCAACACAAATCACCATAATTGAACTGACTTACTGTTTTTTTTTCTCGCCACACTGAAAAATCCATCCTCCACCTTGGCATTTTGCAAAGCCACTTAATTTGGGAACTTCCAGGGAAAACTGAATGTCACTTCCTGGAGATAAATGGCTTACTTAGGTCTAATTAAGTTTATTTCCATTGCTATTTCAGGGTCCATTCTTGCTGACTCCCTTCTGTTTAGCCTGGGAGTAAGCCTGCTGATACCCCCTCCCCACTCAGGGAGGGGCTGAGCCAGCAGGGACCGGGGTCCCACTGGGCTGTCTGCCCACGCTCAGGGCTCAGGGTCTGTGTCTTGACTGCATGCTCCACTCAGCTCTGCTCCGTTCCCCCGTGAACAGCAGTCTGCTTCTCCTCTGGGGAGCAACTCCTCCCCCCGTGCTTGGACCATGTGACTCCGAGGAGTCCATCCCCAGCTCTCAGGGCACAGCACGTGCCCCAGCCTGGCCAATCAGCAAGCACATTCCTCTAGGCATAGGGATGGGCTCAGAGATGGGTGGGTGATGCCAGTTGGTCCTATCAGATGACTTCCAGAAATGGTACCAGAGCAACTGGTAAGAAATACACCCTTTTCCACTTACCTCCAAATAGGGAGGCAGTAAGTCTAGGCATCACCACATAGAACCTGAGAAGGATTCCAACATGGCAGAAGTCAGGCCAAATAAGTCCTAATGATACCCATCTGAGCCTCTGGATCTAACAGTACCTGAAGCTGAAATGACTCTGAGCTTCCCAGTAAAGGCAGCCAATCAAATCCCCTCCCCCTCCCTTTTTTTGGTGAAGCTAGTTTGCTCTGGATTAAAGTTACTACTGCAGTGTCCCCTATCTGGATGGAGTCCCCCTCACACAGACCGCCTACTTTGAAAACCTTGCAACAGAGCCTCCGGGTTTCCAAAGCCATTTCTGATTACAAATGCCTGGATCTGTTCAGCTTCTCCTTCGCATTCCGAAGGGCTGGACATGAGGAAGGCCATCTGGCGTACACCATTCCCCTTGGCTGGGGAGGACAGGGATCTATCCCTGTGACCTGAGCTTCCCAAGGAGCTCCCAAACAGGCTTTGCCATGGCCACTGGCCTCAGGACTCCCCCCACCCCCCTGGAAGGTCCTATATCCAGGTGAGCGGGCTGGCGAAGGGCTCTGGTGTCTGGAGTGGTCTGGATCTAATAGGGGCTACAGGGCTTCCCAATACCTGACTTGAAATGGAGCCGGAAGGGGCCGTCAGCTGACCTGCGCTGAGGAGGGAGGGACCACCGTCTCCTCTGGAACACACACCAGCCTCATCCTCCCTCCCCATCTTGCCCCAGAAATTCTCAGAGGGGCTGAAAGATGCTGCCCTCTCACACTTGTTACCCTGGGAGGCGCCCCGCCTTCACTTCACTCCCACATGCTCAGTGTTGGGAGCCATGCATGGCAGCAGCAGGCACGTGAACTTTGGGGATCCAGGACGTGAGGACAGGGACAGCCTGCACACTGGAGCAGAGACCACCGGAGTCTTCCTGTCAGCCAAGTGCATTGCCCCGTGTAATGCACAGTGACCCACATTCTCCGGTAGCAAATGTCAGACCTCCTTCTCATCAGTGTATTCCCGAAGGAGACCAGAGGCTCATCTCAGCCCACCCCAGCAGAGGACGAGGCTCTTGCTTGCCCGAGATGAGCCTTCCTTCCTCGCTGCTTCCCTAATCAATCTCTCTCAAAATATCTACAGTGAATCATGGTTGTTAGAATCATGCTTTTCACTTACAAAGCACTTCTGCATTCATTACCCTATTTAAACATCTCCCTGTCCTAGAAGGCACGCCGACTGTTCCAGGGTTACAAAGAAACGGAGGCCCACGGAGGGTAAGGTTCTGCGGCACGCTAGCAGCGGGACTGGGATTTGAGACCCAACCTTCTGGCTCTTATGTTGGGGTCCTTCACCTCGGCTTTTTCTAAGACTCTTCCTTTTGCCCTTGATATCAGTTTGCCTTTGTGTGCAGATGAGGTTACAAAGGTGACCACTTGTCACAGGTCACAGGGCAAATCCTGCTGCTTCCTATAATATAATCATTTGCGATATTCTCTCACTGATGTTCCGGCATCCTGAAATCATGCGTCAAACTAATGGCCAAAGTTGTTTCCATTCTTCTTGTCCCTGTGTTTTTGGTGGCTACACAAGATCATATTATAAGCCCTCCGATCAAACCCCAATTTCTGTTTTGCTTCCTGCCCCATTGAGGACATTCCCACCGAACAAATCCCACCTATCGTCATCTAGGCTATCTTATGGTCATGAGGTAATCAAAGGGTTTAGAGTAAAGAAAGGCTCTTGCCCATGCTTTACTCTTGATCCTGCCTCCCGACTAACCCCAATGCTTCTCCATGAGGCTGCGCACACCCCCCCCCCCTGCTTCTAGAAACTGTTAACAACTCTTTTCTCAATGCCATTGACCTCTCTGTGTCATCATGCGGCCATTGTCATCCGTGAGGCCCCAGGCACACTCAGAAAGAGTTCTCTTTGTAGTTGAGTGTAGGGATGACCCAAATTCTTCACCCCACTCTGTAGCTACACCCTTAGCCAGGTAACTTTGCAGGTGACCTCCGACTGCGGGCAGGTGACCTGCCTCACTCAGGATATTGGGTTCCAGCATGTAACCTGTGTTGGCCAATGGTGTATCAGCGGGCGGGTCACAAGCAGACAGTAGAAATGGAAGGGCACCCTGGGTCTCTTCTTTTGCACCTCTGCAATTGTCATGACCACGTGCCCAGGCTAAACTGCTGGTGCCTGTCATCTCCACCAACAGTTAAATGACCCCCGGGCAGGGGAGGGATCCAGCTGAGACCAGAACCACCACCTGGCCAAGCTCAGCCAATCAGGGACCCCACAGACTTGCGAGCTAAACACATGCTTTGTATTCAAAGCCACTGAATTTTGGGGAGTGGTTGGCAGACACAGCGCCACTAATTATAGAGATGGGTGTGCCCTCTTCTAACATGCTGAGAGAACCAGGATATGGCTCGGGTGGCAGGGTGCCAGTGCCCAGAGCTGACGGGGGCTTGCTTAAAAGCCAGTCAGGGGGCACTCCCTTTCCTATCCTACTGTGCTCAGGGTAGTAACCACCGACTCGGTGAGCTGTCCAGGATGGTCTGCTGGACGATTCCTAGACAAATTTTCCTCCTTGATAAGAGGCATGAGTCACGTTAAGAACAATCTCTTTGGCTCCTCTTTACTTCTATTTCTTGGGGTGTCAGCACGTGAGGATGGGCTGCTCGGAGCTGGAGCAGCTCTATTTTGACTGTGAGAGAGAAGCCAAGAGACCTGGAAGGATATGGATCCAGCGCCCCAGCTCTATTGAGCTGCTAAACCAGCCCTGGGTAGGACCATCTCCAGACTCTTGTCCGTCAGAGAACGAAGTCCCCATTGCTCGAGTCAGTGGGAACCGGGATGTCTGTGAGTCCAGCCTGAACATCCACAAGCATGCTGCCCCCAAAGCAAATCCAGCCCAAGCCTGCTCTGAACTGCTTCCCATTCTGGGGGTCTTGATGACCCGCCACGTTGTCCCTTTGAAACATCCTGATTCTGGGAGGACACCTCTTACCACCCGCCAGTCCTCATCAAAGTCTTCCTATTATTTGACTGAATCCCTAGTGCCCAGTGTGTTCTTGACCAAACCCGCTCCCTCCCGGACTCCCTCGTGTGTTTAAATGTTTGTTAAACTGAATTGAACCGAATTGAAAATCAAGTTGAATTAAACTCTAATTAAATCCTGCAAGAAACGGTGTTCTGGGCACTGGTAAGAGTGAAGAAATGAAGATGGGATCCCCTCTCTTTTGCGAAGTTAATCATGCTGGAGGAGAGTGCGTGCCCCTACCCCCCAGAGGCGGCTGGGCATTTCAGGCCTTCCGAGCTGATAATTGAGAGGCTCGCTCATATCCTCAGAGCGAAGGCACTGGAGGAGAGGGAGCTCCAGGCGTTAGCATCAGCTCTGAACAGCCTCACGAGCAGAGCATCCCTCCTCCGCAAAGCCTCTGCCCCCAGCCCCTCCGGTCTGAAGGCCCTAGGACCGCGGGGCTGTGGTCCGCTCCTGTGTCTCTTCTCACTGCTTTGTGACCCTCACAGCAGCATCACCCTGTTCATGTCCAGTTCTTTCCTGCCATCCTGGCCCCAAGTTCTCTTCTAGGCAGCCCCTCAAATGCAGGCCTCCTTTGTCCCTGCCCACAACAAGGTGGCCACCCCCACGTGACTTCTGGCTCCTGGCTCTCCCTGCCACCCACCCCACGAGATGTCGTCACAGCCACCTTCCGAAACTCTGCTTTCATTATTCTACTTCTGTGCTCAACAACACTCAGTGGGCCTTGGCTGCTCCCAAGATCAGGTGTGAACTCCGAAGTCAGACAGTGGAACCTTCGCACAGCCTGATACACTCTGTTTATCTGACCTTTTCCTCCCACCTTCTAAACTTGAATCTTCTCCCCCTGCCAGGCTGCGCTCTCGAGGAGGCTGCCACGCACAATCCCGCCTCCTTGGTTTCTACTCAGGCTGTCCCAGCCACTGGTGATGCCCTCACGCCTTCTCTATGTCTGTTCACCCTCGAGGCCCCACTCATGTCTCTCTCCCTCTGGTAAGTCAGCCCAGATCAGCCAAGCCCGCCGGGCTTCCTCTCCCCAAGTGCCTTGGCACTGACTGTATGTACCCGTCACTTGACTCTCAGCTCTGATGGCCTGGAATGACCAGTGACCTCTGGGGATGTGCTCACACCCCTACCATCGGATTCACTCCTCCAAAAACGATGGGATTACGACATCCTCATTCTTCTCCCTTACCGGTGCCCAGGACTCTCTTCCTGCAATATTTAATGATGACATATTTCATCCTGATTTTTAATTCAATTCAATTCAGTTCAGTTCAATAAGCATTTAAAAACATCTCTGTTGTACCGGGCCTTGTGCTAAAGCCTGGGGGCACACAAGGCTCATGGTCTGGACAAGCCACCACAACCCTTCCCGGCAGTGTGCTAAGTGAGACCATCTAACAGGGCTCCCGGAATGCTGGCCCTGACCTGGAGTGGGGTCCTCACGCCCCTCAGTGGCAGACAGCTCATGCTGGGGGCACCGAGTGGGGCCGGGGGCCCTGCCCTCCATGATCTCCTGTCTGGTACTGTGGGCATAGCAGAAACACAATAGAGGCTTGTAGAATCCCAAGTTCAACAGACAGCTTTTCTGAGGGATTCACTCCCTATGATTCCCACTCCCCCCATTAGAAGGTAATCAAGAGCTGACATAGAATCACAGGCTGCAGAACACTGAAGAAGGCTTTTCTCCAGCTTGGATGCTACAGCTCTTGACTTGACATGTGGCCAGAGAAGGGCCAGATGGGTTAAGTGACTTGCCAAGGTCACTTTCTCTTAAGAGGCCAGGCTAAGAAATGTCTTGGGACTTGAGTCTTCAGAAAGGAAGAGGAAGAGAGGAAACAGCCCTGTGTTATCCGGCTAGCAAGTGTCAGAGCCAGCGCGTACCCCTGCCCATGGATCCAGAGCCTGTGTCCGCAGTCAGCATGGGGCCGCCCACGTGTGCTGCAGATGGGACTGTGAGTCTAAGGGAGCCAGCGGGGGGGCGGGGGGGGGCGGGCACGGTTTGTGCAGGGGTGAGTGCGGGTGCTGGGTGGGTGCTGAGAGCATGCTGTAGGGGGGCGGAGGTGGGAGTGTGGGGAAGGTGTGAGGCGGGCTGTGGCAAAGTGAAGGGTGAGTGTGGCCGGTGGGTCCTGGGCTGCAAGGCAGTGCAGGGGCAAGTGTCTGGGTGTCCTGCTAGGCTTGGGTGTGAGTGTGCACCCTCTCCCAGGGGCAGTTGATTTGGGCGAGCAAATCCTGGGTCTCTACCTCCCTCACCCCCTACCCTCAGCCCAGCCACGCCCGGCTACCCACCTGTACTGTCGTCATAGACCACGGTGGCCGATCGCCACTTGAGGTACTGGACCAGGTCGAGGATGGCGTGGCTGAGGGAGGCGTAGTCAGGGTAGAGGTTCACGTAGAAGGTGTCCTTGTTGTCCAGCGGGTGGTGTTTCCAGCGCAGCTGGATGTGGGGCACTTCCAGAGCATTGCAGATGGACTGGACGGCGTTGGTGCAGGAGCCCTGTGATGGCCCGAAGATCGCCACCACGCCCAGGGCCAGCTGATCACAGGCTGCAACGGAGGTGGGGGTGGGGGGAAGGTGAGGGGCTTAGTGCTGGGCCTCGTCAGGCAGCTGGGGGCTGTGCACACAGGGGTGCAGTGATTTCCGTGATCCCATAAACACAGCGAAGGGAGACAGCAGCTGGAAACTTCCGGGGGCAGACAAGGAAGGGTCCTTCTGAATCTTGGCTTCCTTCTCTGGAAGCTGGGGTTACAATTACCCTGACTCATGGATATTGGGAAGGTTGAGTGAGATCGCGCATACGAGACCCTTAGCATCACTCATGAAACAGAGATGGGGTTACTTTTGATGCTGTCCTCACTGTGCTGAGCACCGGCCCTGGGACACTCTGGGACCGGCCCTGATCTGGGCGGTGGGGGGAAGGCCAAGAAACAGCTAGGATGAAACATCTCCCTGTGGCAACTGTGAAACTTCTAGCCCCAGTCTGTTCCCCAAAGTTCAACGTCCTCATCTCCCATCTTGCAGGACACTACCATGTGCCCTCATCCGAGATGCATTTCAGACCAAACGTGTCCCAAACGCTACCCCCTCTCCTCCTCCAGGCTCCCCTCCTCAGTAAACCACTTCCACTATCCCAGTGGCTTAGACCCTGAACATTGGCTTCCTCTTGACTCCTCTCGTTCTCTGTTGTCCCACATCCCACTCCTGCTGGGTCACCTTCGGAATGTTCCAGAATCAGAACTTCTTGCCACTGCCACCATCTTCTGCTGGCACTACAGCTTCCTCAGGGACCCTCCCTGCTTCTTACCTCTCCCAGCCTCAAGTGGTGACATCACATGTTTGCTCCAGAGGTTCCAATGTCACTTGGTCTAAAAGCCAAAGTCCTCATGGTGACAGATGAGGCCCTGCTCACTGCAGTTCTTCCCCACCCCATCCCACCCCTGTCCTCATCACCATCACCACTTTTCTGACTTCAACTCCCATCCTTCTCTCCCTTCCTCACAGCCCTCAAGCCCCACCGGTTTCCATGAAGCTCTGCAGACACGCTAAGCACACTCCTGCCTCAGAGCCTTTGCACTTATGGTCCCTTCTAGCTGAAGTGTTCTCTGCTCAGATATCTGCATGACTTCCTCCTTCCCTTCCCTCAGGTTTCTGCATCCATGTGGTCTTACTAAAGAAGTATCACTTGCCCGACTTGTAATAAGAATCCTCCAACCAGAATCCAAAACCCCATACCCTGCTTTGTTTCTTTATTTATTAAATGATCGCCAGAAGTCTTGTTTGTTGACTTTGTCCTCCCACTAGAATGTAAGTCAAGGCAGCAAGGGCTTGATCTATGTTGCTTATTGGTCTATCAACAATAAACGGTACCTGAATAGTCCCTAAACGTGCTCAAAGCAGTACTTGGCCTGACCAGGTGCTTCACCAGCCTCTGCTGTGTGAACAAGTATTGACTCCCTGCCCTCAAACAGTTTGCATTCTTGGGTGGGGGAGGAAGCCCAGGGGCTCCTAAAAGGTGCTCCCCTCCTGGGGAGGGGCTCAGGCAGGTCAGATGGCAGGTGCTTCTGGGGAGGGCAAACCCCGATAGGCACAGCAGAGATTTGTTTATTTATTTATTTTTAAAATTTTATTTATTTTTTTGACACAGAGAGAGAGATCACAAGTAGGCAGAGAGGCAGGCAGAGAGAAATAGGAGGAAGCAGGCTGCTTGCTGAGCAGAGAGCCCGATGTGGGGCTTGATCCCAGGACCCTGGGATCATGACCTGAGCAGAAGGCAGAGGCTTTAACCCACTGAGCCACCCAGGCGCCCACAGCAGAGATTTAAATGAGCAGCCCCAGACAGCTGGGGCTCCAAGGGCAGGCACAGGCTCATGTAAGGATTGTGCCTAAAAGATCCTTAAAGTAGGACCTTTCTGGGGGCAGTCAGGGGAAGGACTCCCCAGGAGCTCTCGCCCTTTCTTCTGGCAACTCTGATTTTCCTTCAGGCTCCCACCTCTCCCACGCCCTGGCTGTGAGGGCTAGAGCATGCCTTAGAAACAGGCCTTCTTCAGGTCCCAGACACTGGGTTGGAGGACGGTCATGTGACCAGTCAGAGCCAATGGGGAGCCACGGGACCTCGCACCCAGAAGGTAGGACTCTCTCTCTGCAAGGGGACGTGGAAATAAGATCAGGAGCTGCGATAACCACCCTGTGCTCCCAAAGAAAGTGCAGTGCTTGTCTGAGAACAGAGTCAGTAGGCAGGTGAGCAGAGTCAAAGGGGAGGAAGAAATAAGAACCCCTGGTCAAGTGCAACCTTGGACCTTGGGTACGTGAACCAGTATGTTCTCTTTTTGCTTAAGCCACGTAGGATTTGGTGTTTTGTCCCTCGCAACCAGAGGAGCCCTAACTGATCTATCCATAGAGCGTCCACAAACTCACCAGCCTGTGGCCGTGAGAATGGTGCCACGTGCACACTTATGAACGTATGGTGCATGTAGAAGGAGGCAAGACATCGCCTAAGCATTGAGGGGCAATGGATTTAGACACATCCTGGCTGCCCCAAGGGCCTCTGGGAATGACCTACTGGTCTCAGGCCACCCCTAAGATTTGCAGGGCCCCAGACCAGTCTCCAAATGGAGGCCCACATATCATATGGCTAAATATTTAAGCACTATAAGCCAAGCTAACAAATTGTTATATAAAACACACCCTTTCCTCCTACCCTAACAAACACACTTCTCTAGCAACCTAGAAAATCAGGTGGGCATGGAGACTTCCCATACACAGAGATGTGGGGAAGGGTGGCACCAGCTCAAGCTTGCCCCCCTCTTTTACTGCTGGCTCGCCCTAATCCATAAGAAGGACCTTGTTCTCCGTGTGGATACCCCACTCCTATGTCCGAGCTCTGTCAATACCCCTACAAACAGCTGCCCTTTGCTCACCCCTGGAAAGGGCCTAGGAGTGTGCCCCTGGCAGTATGGCTCTCCCTCTGGAGAAGAGCCCAGGGAAGAGGCTCATGCAGGCCTAGAGGTGGGCTCAGGGCCAACTGGGTAGGAAATTCAGGGTTCTAGATACTTGAAGCAAAGGCTAAAATGGCAGGGCACAGGCTCCTGGTAAGCAAGTGCCCTTCATCCCACTGACCCTTTGTCCTGGGAGGAGATACTGACCAGGAGAGAGCAAGGGCAGCCCCCTGCCCAAAGCACAGACCCAGAGAAAGGGGCCCTCTTGCCTGGGCTAATGGTGGTCCCAGTGGATGCAGAGATGTGGAGTGGTTTTCAGTTGATCAGAATGGGTGGTCTTTAGTGTATTTTCTCCTCTTCCTTGACCCTCCAACCTCTCCTCCCTTACTGCCTCCTGGGACCAGGAGAAAATATAGACAGTATTTTCCCTGAAATTTGTACTTCCCTCAAGAACACCAGAGAATGCCACTTGTGCTTTGGGTGAAAGATATAGCACTCTTGGTGGGGGGAAGCTAGTTATTGTCAGGAGGCTGCTGGAGCCACATGGAACATGCGCCAGGACAACCATGTATGGGAAGCCGCAAGACCAACATAGGGAACATCTCCTGGGTGACTGGGATTCCTTGTGGCCAATACCAAGTGCAGGAGAAGATGCCCAGTGGGGCACGTGGCAGCTCCCTGGTGCTCCTACAGCTGTAGGACTGGAGTCCAAGTCAGGGAAGTGCTGCTGTCCCCACTCTTGTCACCCTACAGTCAAAAAGCCTGGAGCAGCACTCCGTGTGGGATCAACCCCAGTGAAAATAAATGCTTCCAAAATAGGACCCTGGGTTTGTTGATAAATTGTCCCATTTCAGGAAGTCTTCTTTTAAGGGCCCTTGCCCCAAGGAGGCCAGGCCCTGACCTGTCCACTCACTGCTCATTCATGTTGCTTCCCTCTGGTCACTTTGTCCCCTGAGAGCAGGTGCTCCATGAGGAAGAGATCATGTGTGAGTTACTGTGTAGCCATGGAGGTTAGATAAAACATGAAGGAGATAGCAATAGTGAGTGATTGCTGTCCAGGCTTGGTCACTCCCCTCAAGCTGTGGACACTCTATAAAATCTGTAAGTTTCTCTCATGCACTATCTTCTAACCCTATTTTGAACCTTCTAGCTGTCCTCTGATATCCTTGGTTTCCATCCTTTGCCTCCTGTCTCTATCTTTTTCCTTTTCCTCTGGGACCCTCTGATGGATAACTTGGTCAAACGACTATTATGTTTCATTCCCTCCACTACCACTTTCAAGAATCTGCTTTTTGGATTTCCCCCTTTGATACTGCCTGGAAACAGGCAGGCAAATTCTTCCTATGCCCTCACCCCCACCCAGCCCAGCCTCTTAGATCATGGTCCCCTGCCTGGGTCCAAGGTCTAGGTATCCAGTTTGGCTGAGGCAAGGGAGAGTAGACCAAACACAAGTTACGGTTCTGCAGAGGATTATAAGGATGATCTTGAAGGAGGCAATTTTGATTTTGACATCAATTGTGAAGACAAAGTTAAAGGTGACCACAGTGATGGCGGTGAGGGTGAAGACCATACTATTGACGATCATGGCCATGGCACCGACAAAGATGGAACTGATGATAATGTTGACATTGTGGTATAATGGTGTGATGATGATGGGATTGATGATGGTAAAATGTCAATGTTTTGATGTAATAGCAATGGTGATGGTAGGAATAATGATGGTGATATGCACATTGATGAGAGAGGATGTAATAACAGTCTGATGGTGGTGACAGTAATTGCGGGATGATGTTGGTGTTGATGAGGCTGGTGATGATGATGAAGATTCTGGCACCATGACAATGGTGAGGATGAGGAAGATGATGATCACGGGGTGGGGATGTCGGCAAGGGTGTGATTGATGAGATTGGTGTCGATGAAGATGTCAGTGTCATGACTGCCCATGGTAGTAGGAAAGATGATAATGATGTTGGCACTGATGAAATTGGTGACGAAGATGTCAATGTCATGACTGACAATGGTAGTAGGAATGATGGCGATGATGTTGGCAATGATGAGACTGGTGATGAGGAAGCTGTGGGTGTATGGCAGTGATGGTGATGAAGACAGTA